TGGATGTTTGAGGAGAAAGATGATTTTTCAGCTGAGGAAATTATACTGAAGAATTTCTTTATTTTGTAAATAATAGAAGTACTACATTCAAAATTTAAATAAGATAATAAACATGAAAAATGGAAAGTATATATTAGGAAAGAAAACTAAAATGAAAAAAGCTTAAAGAATTATAATAATGTGTAAAGAACTTTAGGCAAAAAGTTATAAATAATATATAAATTATTTGTTTGGAAAAAGGAAAATGGTTAAAGATCCATTGATCAAGGCAGTCAGCATAAGGACTATTTAACATGGCTTGAATTTCAGTTTGGAAGGGGGATTTTTGTGACACGCAGACTAACATTTTTAAATCAAGGGAGAGCCTAGAAAGAACAGATTTTAGAGCAAGGCATTTGGTATCAACATACAATAAAATAAAACTCTTGTCAGTGTTTAGGTCTGAAGTTACTGGGCTTTTGGGTCACAACAGGTTCCCATTTAGGGCTAGCTGGTAATCTGGTAATACAATGAAATCTGTATTTTAGTAGGGATAAAAGTAATCCACTCTGTGTGCTAATGCTGTAAGATATCTTTCTATAAGCAGTGGTAAATTCTAGTCGATTTTAATCTGTAACCAAAGTGTGTTTTCTGCATCTGCTTTGAGAAGCAATCATCCACAGGATTCAGGCATAAAAATTCAGCCCACGTTATCAACAAATAGAGAAAAAGACATTTCCTCTGCAGCAAAGGCTGCAACATGACAGTGAAAGTATTCTTTTAAACAAAGAATTCCTCAGGTGTTTTGAGAGGTGAAACAAAAATTGATAATTTCTTTTCATTCTTCTTCAAACACAGAAATATTTTTGAAGGTTTAGTAATAACTGCTGTACTGATGGTATTCTGTACTATTTTTTCATAATTTACATGGAACCAACTATCTGAATAAATATCTTCTTTGCATTCTTATTTCCTCCTGAAACATACAGCTATCTTCTGCCAAATGACAAAAACTTATTGCTATAAATGTTTTTCTTCTCAAAGCCAGAGACTGTACTCTTTTACTCAGAAAAGTTCTTCTCTACAGAGGCTTGTAATGCAGTCTGTGCAGAATTCACTGCCTTACAGTCTCCCATGATTCATTTGTCGCTTCTGTTGAAACATATCTCAGATTGCAACTGTTTCATAATACATAATCTGTTGTAATGCAGATGAGATATGGGTGTAGAACCGAATTTTAAACATTATTATCTTACTTAATATTTTAGTGTTACAAAAGCAATAGGTGAGAATTTTACGATTAAATGGTCTTGACAATACATGTCTCTGTTCATAAAGTCAGACTCAGTAGGCTGCTTGTATTCCCTAGGTTCAACATACACTAGAAAATATCTGGGAAGAAAACTATTTAGAAATTATAGTCCATATTCCTTGGATTTGTTAACTGAAATGCATGCTTAACTTTGGACACTAGAAAGAAAAATAAAACACCCAAAAAGGCAATCTGTCTTTCACTGAGTTGTATTTATTGTTGTAATATAAATGATGTTTTGTAAGGCTTTCTGGCATTAAAAAAAAAATCAATATAAAAATGCTGTATAGCTTTTATCAAAAAGGACACAAGAGCATTCCAAAGGGCAGGTGTAGATGCTGATGTAATCTCACACAGAACTGCTGGTGACAACTTTGAGGGCCCAGGTTTATTGTTCAGGACAGCAAAATAGATGCTTCAAACTGTTTGAGAGCTATGTATAGCCAATCTAAAGACATAACCTGGAACTGCTAATGCTGCTCATTCCACTTTCCTATGGTAAGATTAATGCTAGCAAAGATGAAATATTAATAGAGATTCTATTCTAGTGCTTTCCAAGATGAATGTACATAATATTTGAAGACAGATATTTTAGAATCTAGTAAAAATTTTCTTTTTAAATGTGTAATATGCTATAACTCTTTGTGACAATTGGTGTTGGAGAAAACGTGTAGCCAGAAAAAAAGACATTGAAGTTTTTCAATCTGTTTCTCACTATTTTTTTAAAGGCCTTTCCTGTTGACCGAAACAACAGACTGAAGTTTATTACATTTGTATAAGAAGGCTAAGATCCAATCCACAAGAAGTGATAGATTCGGTAAATAATTTTTCCAAAAGATCATAAAATGACAGAATAGTTTGAATTGGAAGGGAACTTTAAAGGACATCTAGTCAACCATTATGAATAAAAGTAAATTGAAGAGGAGCAAAGAGTTAATTTTTCTTCCTCTTAAAGGCTTCTGGAGTTTTGTTCACAGGTGTGATACTATGAATTAATTTTATGGAAAGGATCACTGAGAGTACTTGAAAGATGTTGGCAAGCTTACTTCATGTAATGCACTATTTATATAGCAGACAGAAGAAGAGCAAAGTGTCATGTTAAATAAAACCTGAAAATACAAAATGAAAGAACTGGGGTAAGTAAGAAAGAAAGAAAACTAAGAGAGACAAATGGTGCATAACAGTGCATATATTCAAACCAAGATTGTGATGAGTTTACAAATGAAGAGAGGAACTTTAAACGATTGAGGGAATGATAAGGAGAGTGGATGGTAAGACAAGACAAGACTAAACAAGAAGACTTACAAACATAGTGGCAGCAGCACAAAAAAGTAAGGCACTAAATATTTCAAAACCTAAAACCCATCAAATTTCCTACCCACACAGCCCAGCTGAATTAAAATACAAATAAGTTGTAGAATTCTTCAGCAAAAATTCAATAGCTTAAAGATCCTAAAAAACTAAAGGTATGTCAGAAACTCAGGTAAGGAAAGTACGCTCATGCATAGAACTGTAAAGATCATAATTTTACAAGTTGTCAAAAGATAAGTTTATTGAATCAAAGTTGTAAATCTAGATGCTCCATAAGAATCCTGCTGATGTTCAAGCACCTGGTAAAAAAAGATCTGCAAAACTTGGTACCTTTCTCCAGGACAGCAAAAACATTTCACTTTCAAAATGATGCTATACTGGGCACTCTAGAAATATATCCATTAAATCCAGTTATTTCCAATCTTATTTTTTAAGCTCCTAAGTTAGATTGATACATTTTAATTTAACTGACCCACAGCAATATGAAAGCTCTTATTTTTGGAAGGACAGGCAATTTGAATGTCTCAGTGACTACTAATTGCAGACAGCAAGCTCATCAAAGATTGAAAGTACAGTAAAGCGGAACAAAGGGCTTCTGAGGATGGTTGCCTCTTTGGTTCCAGTACTTCACGCCACTCTGGCTATCTATCCTTCCTGTGTTCTGACTGCAATAAAGCAAACAGGGGAGTGGAATATAAAAATGCTGTAAATTTTCCTTAATAGTTTTCTAATTAAAGTAATAATCTGAAAAAAATAGCCTGTTACTGTTTGAAGATAAATGTTTTAAGGAACATAGAAACTTTAGTGGTTTTGCAGGCCTAATGTTCTTTCTTTTTTTAATCTGGTAAAACTCCTGGAATCTTAGCACAAATATGACTTGCCCTGTTTATATCACAAAGTCTGTAAAATTTTATTAGTTATTGAAAATAACTGATTTTTAAATAAAATTTACATGCTGTTTATCATAAAAAAAAAATAAAAAGTTATCTCTTTATCCCAGCAAGTGCAAGACCCATAGCACAGAATAGTAACATATTAGGGTCAAAAATGAAGCACAGCTTATGAGCTAACCATGAAATAGCTGGAAATAAGAGCATGACTATGTAGACAAAACAGAAATGCATCTGAGCTCAGACAGGTAACCGATTTTAAAGCAGGATCAGGCCAACTCATATAATTAGATCACTAAATGTCCGGATTGATCTATACTTGGCTTCACACCATCTCACAATATTCAGGATTGCCTACCTCACCTCATTTATTCCCTCTTAGTTCTGAGGTGAGCAGTACTCCCCTCACTCCCATCTCCTGTGTCCCCTCCCTCAGCCTGAGCAGAAGGCCCTGCAGCCCATGAGCTGATGGGTGCTTGGGCTGAGCTGAGCGGATCACGCTCCCACAGCTGCTGTGTGGAGCAGACAGATTAAACTGCTCAGCCTTTCCCAAACCCCACTGTCTCACACTGGAGCTGGACCTCACCCAAGAGAACCAGAAGCTGTCTAGCACAGAAAACGCTGTGTGTTAAAAATCTCAGAACAGCAGCAGGGCAGCAGAACATACACTGGGAGGAGTATCCCACTCTGTGCTGACAGTAGCACTCAGTACTGGTTAGAGTTAGCACAGCTGCCTCCTTTGGACTGGATATTGGGAAAAATCTTCCTGAAAGGGTTGTCCAGCAATGAACAGGCTGCCCAGGGAAGGGGTGGAGTGACCACTCCTGCAGGTATTTAAAAGACGTGTGGCTGTGGGACTCATGGGCAAGGTTTAGTAGTGGATTTTGCAGTTCTAGCAGTTGGATTTGATCCAACCTAAAAATGTCTTAAATTATAATTCTTAAATATATTATCTGTTGTATTCATCAAAAGTATATGGTTAGGATTTTATTGTTTTCAGCAATGATTATTTTTTATTTGGTATTATCTTTTCTCTTAGAAGGGGAGACATACTCTTTGACATGATAACTTTTTTCTCCAATGGGCTCCATTCCAATACTTAGTGAAACAGATTATCTGCTATCTCCTGTCCTGCCTTAATATGCTCATGTTTCAGACCTTTGGCAGTGTTATTAGTGCATCGTGAAATTTTACAGGATATATCAACATATGTCTGTCAAAAAAAGAGAAATGAACATTTCTGGACATTTATTAAAAAAACTACCTTTAAGCTATTTTTATAATTATATAAAAGCACTAAGGACATTCACACACTGAATTTTTTCCCCCATTAGAAATTTTTGAGATTAGACATGCATTATGCACAATATTTATTCTGTGTCTCTTAGAAAAATATATACTTAAGTTCCACTTATATTTCATCAGAAAAAATATTGCAAAATTCATAACAAATTATAAATAAGAAATATTTCTACTGAACTTGGAGAAATAAATTTAAACATTAGTACCTGAAACAACACCAATTCCATCATCACAGTCATAATCAGAGACTTCACTGTCACTGATTCTTTTGGATCCTGGAAAAAGAAAAGACATGTATCATCTTCCTTCCTGTAAGTTAAAACTATCCTCTGTCAATAATACCTAAAATAGTGCATGGATTTCATACTATACCATGAAGCATTAACATCAGCATACAAAGGTAATTATTCACGTTATAATTGTTAAACATATATGACTGCATCAATTATTTCAGCTAAATCTTAAAAGTAATATAAAATGAAATGCTGAAATACATCTCTACAACATAGCCTTTATGAAATATTTTATATAGTTTATATTAATTCCATATACACCGATATTTGCATTCATTCTGTACTGAAACTAGCATCACATTGTTCATCTTCCAAGTTTTCATATACAAGGCACCAATCCTCCCCAAAGTCTCTGAATAACAGAAAGATTATTAATAGTAATAATATTAAATGCATGTAGTACTTTCTTCAAGTTCTTAATAAGGATTATCAGGAGAAAGGGCAGTTCACACATATAGCGTGCCATGGAACATAATCAAACTATTAAACGTATACCTGCCAAAATATCTAGAGCTGAGTTGGTTACAGCAGATTCCACTTCCACAATTAGAACCCAAATGTAGGTCACACAGGAAAAGTAAATATGTCGGGTTTTGTTCAGCCTAAATTTACTTCAGTCTTCTGTGACATATTTAAACAGTATTTTATTGTTGATACCAGGGTTAAACACTGGCATGTGACTGATAATTATTCATTCACTTCTTTTAAAAGTGAAAAAATCCCTGCTCTTCAGCAAGATGGTGTGTTTATTTTAAGTTTCTGACCATCTAAAAATGGGTAATTGGAAGGCAGAAATTTTAATTGTCACCACACCTCCAATCACATGCAAGAATTTTTTTCCTGCCTGAGGACAATTTTTCTGAAAAATGTAGACACAAAAATATCAGTAAAAAACGTTGAGTAAACCTGAAGAAGTCCAGGACAAAGCAGCCTTAATGCTCTATCTGAGTGACTGGCACAGAAGGATGTCTACACTCCTTTCCCAGCAAAAAATGGGAGAACATGTACTTAGAGTGGTTTTGACAAAAAATGAAGAGTTTTCAATTTAAAGAAACTTTAGAAATTATTTTAATTATAAGAAATGCTGTCATTTTAGACTGTTGAACATCTGTTTACCTACCCACTAGAGGATAGTGGAAGGTTTTCTTTAGCAGAAAGAGTGTGCTTGCAAGATCTGAGACTTCTCCTAAGCCATCCTTATACAGTAATTAATCATCTTATTCTCTACAAATTCATGTAATTTCATTTTTAGTCACAGAATTCTCTTGGCCTTTGCAATATTCTATGTGAGTAAATTCTGCAGTTGGAGTATGCATTGTGTGAAATCAACTTCCCTATATTTTATATCCATTATCTCAGACAATGCCCTCCAAGCTTTTGTATTCTGAGAAACATGAATCAGCATTCTGTGTTCTGCTGTAGTTATCTCTTTGGTTTGCACTTTTTTTGAGCTGCAATATCAGTCTTTGGTTCCTCTACACATGCCAACCTCTCCAAATTTCTGATTGTTCCTGCTGTATTTGTTTGTACATTTTCTATTTCTTCTCTGCCTTTTATGAGAAGTCAGAAGTCACTGCAGCATTTGAGATGTGGGTGTATGAATTTGTAATCTGGACTGCAGACTATTTCTTTGAGGATTTTTATTCTTTGAGGATAAAAAGTTCTCAGTTTAAAACTTATTCAACTAAAACAAGATGTGTGATATGTGCTAATTATTAGAAAATAATTTAGCCTGCCAATACATTATGTAATTTCAGTAAAGAAATTTTAATTGTCTTTATTTAATTGCACTAAAGGCTGATGTTTTCCTCACAAATAGGAAATTAAAGCTCAGGGAAAATCATGCAATTCTTATATGGTAGCTCAATTTATTATAAAATTTTAGAAATAGCCATACTACAATGGGTAGAGGAGAAATATTTTTGAATTCAAGAAATAACAAGTCTTTCTCTAAAACAAATAAATTACAAGCAAGTGATGACAATTAGCACTCAGGAAAACTTAGATGATGAGAACAGAAATGAAGGAAAAGGTTTCAACCTCCTCTGATTATTTTCTTAATTATAGTATTAAAAGGTCCACTCTCTCTTTTTCCCCAAAGAAAGGATCCATTCCACCTGTGATGCTGTCCCTGTTGCCATTTTCAGGAGAAGCTTTTGATGGTATAGTGATACATGTGCCAGTGAGCAAGAAGGATTAGTCTCCATTCTCAGCCGCTGATTCAAATCCAGGTCCATTAAAAGAGGGCGATATTTGTGACCAAACACTAAGCAAGAGAGCCCTACTAACTGGCTGGGCTTTGCCTGGGACCTGGAAGGCAAAAGGCCCAAAAGGAGTGCAAACCAATTCTGTCCTTTGGTAGCCCTGACACTGGTGTTGCAGCAGGTCTGTGGCTGCTGTGCAGAAATGCCAATAAAGTCACCCAGGCCGTGTCGAGAGGGGATTGTGGCATGGGAAGACGAGGGCAATTGAGTTTGCTGATGCTCATCACATGGCTGCTTGGAAAGGTTTCATCATGAAAGATGTAAAAAGGCTGAATCAACTATGATTTGAATAGATGTCATTTACTCATCAACTAATTCATTCTTATGAATGAATCTAATTAATTACAACTGAGGTTGCTTTTTATTTATGTTTATATTTACAGCTAAGTACATCTGCTTTAACATATTTTTAGAATATTATATTCTGTATTCAGGAGGAGATATTTGCATCTTTGAGGATGAAAATAGTCAGCTGTTGTCACAGTGGGCTCTACTCTTCCCAGCTGTGTAGCTAAAATTATATATTGTTGTAGTCACAGGATACATCTGGCACAAAAGAGAGATTAGGAAGCTTCAACAGAGCACAGGTATAAAAGACAGGGTTCTCTCTCTGTCATCTCAACCACATCCACCTGTTCCAGAATCTCCTAATACTTCAGCTCCACATCATCTTCCAGGATCTAGAGATCTAAGCCTCAGGAAAGAGCCAGTGCAAGAGAAAGTGAATGGGCCAGGATTGAGACCTGCCCGAAGCATAGGAGTAGAAAAAGAATAAAGTAAAGGAAGAATCAGATTTCAGTGATTTCTCAAACTGTCCTTGCCGCTGAAAAGAGGAGAGTCTCTTGTAACACCTGACATCCTTAAAATATGAAACTTGATCTGTAAGATGAGATATAAAGCTTGTTCAGCTCAGATCACCCACTCTATATCCTCAAGCTGCTACAAGCCAGCTCTAACTACTAACAGAATTAAACTAATTGAAAAAATAATCACGTTTAAGGAATATTTTTCATTTCCTTACAAATGTAAATTTAAATGATAGTAAAGAAGTCAGAAGAAATTTAAAGCAGAATTAATGACTTGGTTTTATCTTTGGCAATCAATTTTTTCAGGAAGGGGGAAGGAAAGCAATGCTATGTCAATTAAATGTGTAATATCTAGAACTACTGCCTGGAATACATAATTTCTGCAAAGGAATCAGATTATACCTATTTAAAACATTTTCCATTAACTTCAGAAATGGAACAAACTAGAAAGTGCACAGGTCAAAACCTTTTGTTGAAGTAAGTATTTGAAATGTCAGTATAATTACTAGCAGAATAGTTTAATAGCTCTTGGAATTTTTGCAAGAGTGATTTCATCTGCTTTATATTAATTTTAGATGGTACTTTCCTTTTTAACCTATTGTCAATGTAAATGTGAAGATTTAGGCATGTGTCCCACCTTAGCCATGTCTTTTCCAAGTATTACTTCACTAAGTAATTTGGACCACTGATTACAAAAAAGAGAAAGAAAAATTCATATCTTATCTGTGAAATGGGACATTGAAGCCTCTCACAAATTATTGCAAAATAATATTGTGAATTAAACTGTTATTTAGTTAATATCTTAAACTCTTTGACATATACATTATAAAATATGGTCCAAAAATCAAGAGCAAAGGGTTTAAGTCCATTCTTACATAAATTCAGAATTCAGTAAAAATCTTATATTCCAGGATACTGTCTACATTAAATGAATGCATTGGTGCCAATGGTTTGCCTGTAGTTAATTTCTCTTTGATGCCATTCCACTGGTATGTAGTTTATTTATAAAACTTTATTGGAGTTATTATTCGCCTTTTGTCTGATAACTGGGCAGTAATAGATGGTGAAGACAAACTTTCAAATCCCTTCCACCCAGATAAACAATTATTACAGTTATGGATTGAAGGCAAAATAGATCCCAAGCTACTGTAACCCTCAAATGCCTTAATTCAGCATAGCCCCAGGGAAATAAAAATGTATTTTTTTATTCCATTTAGCAAGTTTGGGTTTAACAGCCTTAAACTATCAATAAAACTCTTCAGGGGAGTGTTGATATTGGGGACAATGGAAAACCTCCCCAACCAGAACTTGCCAACGTTCAGCATCCTCCTGCCCCTCCACACTCCCCTACTCCTTCCCTGCAGTGCTGCTCAGGCTACCACCTCGCCCAGCACGAGAGCTCTGTGAGAACACGTGCACAGCAGGGCTGGAAGTTCACAGCACTTGCATCCCTGTCACCTAAAAACCTTTAGAACCATTATTTTTAATTTCAATTTAGCAAGTACTTTCTATTTAATTTTTTACTATTTGCATTTTTACTTTCTCTTACACAGAAAAGGAACTTATAATACAGTAGTTTCTTAGTATAAAAACATTTCAATTTTTCATCCTCGGGGATGAAGTAATAGGAAGAAAAGAAGTAATAAGAAATAAAGAACAAAATGAGGTCTTTCATTCAATTTTTTTAAAGAAACAGTTTGTTTTTTTTTTTGTCAACTTTTAATGGGATGCATTGTTGATGGCCATGGAAAGCTTTAACAACTTCTAAATAAGAATATGGGGAAAATTGAAAAAATGTTTACAGAATATTCTTTGGTTTTCCCAAAGCTGTCCATGTTTAAAAAGCATTCGGACCATGTATTTAATAACTTGCTCTAGATTTTGGTCAGGACTGAATGGTTGGGCTCTTGGACTAGATGATTGTGGTAGGTCCCTGCCAACTGGAATATTCTATTCTATTTCACCAGAATCACATTTCCCTACATAACAACATTCTAAATAATTGGAACTCTCCCATATGAATGAAACAATATGCAAAAAAAATTATTTTCTTACAAAGCAACCAAAATCTGTGGAGGGTTCCAAAAAACCTTCTGCCTTCCACATGACAACTGCAGTTGGCACACAGCTTTTCTTTGCTCTCTTTTTAATATACAGAGGAAATAATACAAAATACCTTCTGAATTTCATAAATTCCCCACAGACATTTCTGATAGACCTCAAGAGAAGATTAACACAGGAGATTCAAAGCTCTACTCAAGTGCATTTGACCAACCAACATAGCTACCAAAATGAACTAGGACAGGGGGTAGAATGAGAAATAAAATTAGTGTGCATCAGCCTAAATACAGAAGAAAGTGCCAAATTTATGGCTCCATAATTCTGTGCTTTTCTTGTGGAAAAAACAGGAAAAAAAAAGGAGACAGGAAAAAAAAAGGAAAAAGAAAGCCGACCAGGCTCCCAGTCCTGTCCCTTACAATGCAGGAAGCTTTTACAAGGTTTTGTGGACTCCCTGGGGCAACCAAGGGTAGTGAAGCATGCTTGCAGTTCCCTCCCTGGAGCTCACAGAAGGCCTTCACAACCACTTAAAGTCACTTAGCATAGCCTGTATTTCTTCTATGTTCAGAGCTGACACATAAGTACCCCCAAAAGAGTCTCACAACAAATGTTTTAAGAATTTGCTCTCTGATATTCATCCAGCCTGTGCCCAAGGGTCCTTAGTGTGAGCTAATTTCTCATGCAGTCCTGCTGTCTCCATGTCAGTCTGTCACTTCATCTTCCTGCACATAATAGTGGGGTTTAGAGGCTTTAGACCAGTTTCATCTACACTGACAGAGGAGTTTAAATATAAAATTCTATTAAGTTCTTACAGGTCTTTGAAAATCGTTAGAATAGGATAGATGAGAAAGATAAAAGAGAGAGATACAACTTCTAGATAGAAGGGAGAGATACAAATTGGAAGTCTTTAATCAAAAAGAAACTTTATCCATATAAAATTTGAATCTAATCTACATGTGTGCAAGCCCACAGATGCCACACCAAACTTGGTCTGTCCCCATGTGAAGATATTGTAAAACATGAGAAGAATTTGGGATTATTTCAGGAGAGAAAGGAATAGAAGAAATATAGGAGATTGACATTAGATGTAATCAAAAAAGGATTTTATTAGTACTACTCTCAAGAAACTTCTGCCCTAAGGGGCTTTTGTTTCTCTCCATCATGGTATGGATCTATTTTCATAACAATGTGAGTTTCATTTTTTAAACATAACTAAAAGATAATGAGTTGAACCAATTCTCAAAGAGATTCCAATAATTAAAACTGCAAAAACTGCAAAAAGTCCCACATGAAATGCACTACAAAATTTAAGTTGGTAAAAACTGTATGTTATTAATTTACTTATATTTAATTAAGGCAAATTCCTCAGATAGCGCTGGATTTGTAATGGGGATTTATATCAACAAGAAACTGCAAAAATATATACCAGTGTAAATACTGATTTTGCCAGTACTTCACTTACCCCACATCTGTATTCTAAATATACTTACACTAGTTCTCAAACAGCTGTAATATAATAGCATTCCTTTTAATCCAGTTAAAACTAGATAGCATTTTCCTAGTAGAGTTAATAAAGCTCACTACAGCTTTCCTACCATATCTCTACCTAAAATGAAGGCAAGCAAAGCAAGTGGGGTGCTACAGTATTGCTCCAATATCAATACTGAGACATTAACAATAGAGAAAGAAAGCCAACAAAAGACCTAATACTCAAAAGCAGACAAGAAAAGCCAAAGAACTTTTATGCAATTTAGTATCTGCACAATAGGTAGCAAAAGCACACCAACAAAATATCAAATTAAATTTTGCACATATATGGAAGCAATAAGCATTTATGGCATGCTGAAAATTTACCTGAATTATATGAATATAAGCCTTTATCTGGAAAAAAAATATTTAAATGAAGTAGTGTCAGGGAAAAAAATATATGAATCAACACATGTAACAGGGATGATTAGAACCTTAAACTTTTCTATAATTGCCAGAGATGGAAGAATTTGATAGTGTAGCCATACTACTTCAAAATTATAAAACTCAGGCAGCTAAGAAAAATTAAACCACAAAAATGCCAATCACTTCTGGATCAACAGTTACATACAACAGCCACAGAGATCTAGTAGAGCAATTTCAGTCATTTCCAATTTTGAAATACAGTTGCACATTTTTATTAAAAGTGTTTAACTTTTTAAGGGCAAAATGTATGTTCAGCTGGGCATACAATATGAGCTGCTACCCTTAAAAATATTGCATGCTTCTCTTGGCCCTGCAGCACTAGCAGAACTTTCCCAAGGTGTAGTTTTGAATGCTCCTTTAAAATTAACAGACTCTGAAGTGATGTGCCAGTCAATCTTCTCCCTCCTGCTAGGTCTTGACCTGGTAAATATGTACATACATGAGAACCTTAATTAGATACTGTTGTTACCACTGAATTTTAGAACCCTGATATGAGCTGAATGATTAAATGCTTGCAATACCTGATTTATTGTTTGCATTACTTAAGTCTGACTGGTTTATGTATTTTAGCTTTCCAAACAATCATACCAAGTTTTCTAAACTGACCCAAGGAATAGGATGGGGCTATCTGGACAATTCTGGAAACATGAAATGTTCATTGGATGCGTAGATTTTGAAATATGACTTCCATATTAAGATGTCATAATACAAAGAAGGCAAGAAGCCAGAATAACATTAACAATATCTTGTCATTAGCAAGATTTTGTAAATATTTTTATTCCTTGTAGTTGAAAAGCTCACAGAAAACTTACTAAACAGAAGAGTGCCAGTCTGTAAGTAAATGATGCACCTCAGATTATATGATATGACAGTGTTAGAGAAAATTTCAATTTCTTGCCAAATGGTGCTGTTAATGGATTCACTGGATGACTAAGTGCCTTCTGGCAAGTCACACTTTTTCTGACATCCAGGTACTAACTATTTTAATATGTGGATCATATTACTAAATCACCTACTACTTACAATTTCTAACTCTCTATATTTTCAACTTTGGTTTCTTGATAAATGTAATACCTTTTTATGTCTCAGAATTCCGTTAGTCAATGAAATTTCAAAGTAAATTATACGGTTTTTTCAGCATCACTTACAACCTTTTAGATGGGATTTATTGTGTAAATTCTCTAATATTTTTATTCCTTAATGCTAATCTCTTCTGGTTATGGACTTCATTAAAAATGATACTTTTTTGGCTACAAAATTATGAAAAATGCAGTTTAGAGACTTTATCTAGCTTACCCTGACAACATCAGGTGTTACCTGAACACTAAAGGTGTGCCATGTGCCCACAAAATAAATCTATTAACACAGTGTAGAAATTATTCATCTAGTTAAAAATTAGGGACTTTCTGAATTTAACTGCTGGATAGATCTTCAAAAACATACAGTTTCTTGAAGAGAACAAGAATATAAAATTAGTGAGATTATAATGGGATTGAGGACTAGGAAAGCAATGTTTGTTTCTATATGGTCATAACACAGAAAGGAAGAAGTCAGAATAGTATTAAAACCATCTGAAAACTTCATTGCACAACAGAAGAGTAGTTTAATAACATGATTTTGTCATAAACTTTTCAAAAAAGCTTTTTAAGTATTTTTGTAGTTTAATTACAATTTAGTAAATTAATATTCTAAATTAGTTTCTTTTACTAGAAAAAGAAAAATATTCTGATAGTTTAAGGCCTTTTTAGACATCCCTGTATCATGTTAAATACCTTTTAATTAAAGTATTTAAGAAACCATAGATGTACAATAAAATATAATAAATAAATAATAGATGTACAGTAAATACAATACTGGTATATATCTCCATATTCTGTGAACAAAATATCAATGCATGCAAACCAAGATAACATGCCCAAGGCCTATGCTTCATTTAAAGAAAGAGAAAAACTAAGGAAGAAGCATGAAGGAGAAAATTAATTGTCATTTTGACTCTCTAGGATAAAATGCATATAATAAATTAATCATGGCCTGTGCCACTGACCATAAAATGCTCCATATTATAATTTGGAAAAAAGTCTCTGACGCGTGTGTCCATTAGGTACAATTCACTTACCTACTAGTGAACAGCATTATTGTCATTTCCTCAGGTCAGGTTCAGTGACATTCATTGAAAATTATGGTGCTGACTTCCCAAACTCACAACAAACTAAAGGAACTTGCTGAGACAGCAAGATCCTGATTCTGCAGTGAAATGAGCCCCTACAGGGCTCTAAGGAAGTGAATAATTTTCAGTGGAAGAAGATTGGCCATCATTTCACAGGTGCTCATATTTCACAGATTAAAGTTTCAGATACATTTGTAATTAATTGTTGTTAAACTTTAATGATTTTGGTACTACGAAATGTATATCTTGATGTTCTACAATATAGACTTGATAGCTTTACCATTTAAATAATGGAAGAGAGGGATTAAATTAACAGTTATGACATTCCTCCTTGATCAGATGGTAGAGCCACAGAACATTCAAAAACTAAAAGCTGTCAGCACTCAGCATTGATGAGTCCCTCTAAAAATGTTTTTCAAAAATTAATAAGCAATGGGATTATTAATTTTTTAATTCAGTCTATCCGTTTGATTTTTTCTAGTCGGATTTAATAACTTTTATCATGTTAAGGTCTCAGCATTACTGCAGAAAATACAGTCTGATGGAAAAATGTACAAAGTAAAAAATTGAAAAAATTTTTCATGTTACTCAAAACACTTTGTTTACACATCATAGCTTTTCTTTATTCCCATTCAAAGAATGAATAAAATTTAAAGAAAAATAATTATATATAGCTTTTTGCACACTATACGCAGATTTTTTTTAGAACATAACTGCAGTCAGATTTTGTCCCGACAGTTTAAACTCTCATTATTGTAATTTGTCTCCTTCCAGATTTTTTATGGACCTGGTGAATCATGAAATTCAGTGAATGGAGTCATTGATGAATTTCATTCTAAATGTAATGAAATTCCTTTAACAAGAAAACTACTCCAAAGTATGTTTATTTACATTTACTTTAATTTTGATTTATTTTTTCTGGTTTTCAGATCTTGGGAAAAAAAAAATTGACTTCTACATGTTGATTTTCAAACACTGTAATTTCTAAAATCTTTGAGATCTTGTTCAGAGCAGAGTTTATCTCCTGTAGATTTATTACTTTTCCCTTACTGAGGATGTTCAAAATATAATTTTTTATTTTTCAAACCATATTGTGAATTCTCATGGTATTCAAAAACTGTAGAGACCTGCTGCTGTACATACCTATGCTGCAGCAAGAGACCTGAAAATGTCTGGGTTTATTGCTATATTCACATTTCTTCTCATTTGCACACTTAGCTGTTACCTACACTGCACATTGCACTCTCTGGGGACTGCAGATCAGACAGTTTCACTTTAAAGCTGCAGAATCTGACTTAGAAAACAAGTGTCAGTCACTTTTCAATCCTAAGTATTTGGGAAAGTCTTAAAACACTTGGAGTAAAACAAAATCTGCTTCTGAAACAAATTCAGCATTAATATAAAACTAAAATACTGTTGTTCTTCAAAACATAAAATATCCCCTGATTCTTTCTCAATTCACAATACCAGCTCACACTTCAAAAATGCTCACATTACATAGATAAAACTGTAAAAGATGGAATAAGAATGCATAATATGCAATTTGATTTCTATCTCTATATTCTGGGCTCATGGAGAGGAACTAATTTTAGATACATGATCCCATGGTATAAACCTTGTTTTATTTCTGTATCATTTCTCAACAAACAGAAATAATAACAATAACTTGCACATCCTAATAACCATGGACCCAGCACCCAAAGCACATTCAATTTTGTATGTATTCTCCAATAAGATTCTTAGCTAATGTGAGATGGAAAAGCAGCCTACCAAAAATGGGAATTCCTAAATATTCTCTCACATTATTTTAAATTTTCTGGCTGCAATCTTTTTCAGAGGCAATATAAAAAGAACTTCAGTTTGGCTGTAATTCTAATTAATGCTGGAATTCTGGGTGTATGGCTGATTTTATGGTAAATATTAGAGAAAATGAATTCTAAAACTCACTTTTAAAGCTGAGCACAATAAGTAAAAGAGACCTACTCATTACCCCCCATTTCTCATAAGAAAAAGTTTAAAATATACTCATTGGATCAGGTTATGAAAATCTCAAATATAATTAGCTGAAAGAGCTAGTAAGTCATAATCCTATGTTCTATATTAGTTCCAGTTTCTAAGTAGATGTCTGTCAAAAAACACAAAGGAGAAAGTATGGGAATGATTCTTTATCACTAGGAAATTAATGGAATGTATGGATCAGAGGACTGGGAAAGAGAAGGTGGACAGCTGACTTAGATCAGTGTGTACCACAACACACTGCCCACTCAAAGATATTGAGAGATAAATATATGTAGAAACGAAGCTACTGGCTCTGAAAGCTGGCTCCTAAAAAACCAGCATATGGGGCTCCGTGGGAAGCTTGCACTTTGCTACTGGCAATCTGTAAATACAACTTCACTCTTCAGGGCTGACAGTCTGCTCTTCTTCAGGAACACTGCATTCCAGGGATATTAAAAAGAGAATAGAAGTGCTAAGCGTAGGTGGTTCTTTTAAACTACCTTTAGAGAGTAACACTTAAGTATTGTCTTCAAATAAATATGTTTATCCCTACTCGACAATCATAAAGATAAAAAAGCTTAGATGTGTAATGTGTATTTATACAAACAAAAAAGAACCTTGTGATTCAAAATAACTCTCCTGTCATTTCCCACACTAGCAATTTTTGAGGGTATACAATAAATTCTTTCATCACTAATTCTATACATAGAGAGAATGCAGAAAAAAACAAAAGGTAGGAGGACTGAACTGCTGAGATTTTGCATCCCCAAAAAATTGAAATCAGCCTGCTTAATAACAGCCCAGTACATGTTCTAAGAAGTGCTTTGAAAAGCATTGACAAACATGCTAGACATGCCTTGTTCTAAGACATTTTCTGCACGTTGTCATAATGTGCTGCTGGATAGCATCTTCTGTTTCATCATATATAAGAATGTTATTGAGAGATAAAAAAAATATCTTCAGACACAAGAAACTGATCTATTGACTTCATACTCTTTTGACATCTCAAAAAAAGGTAAAAATCCTAGACTTCTATGTGTTATTAATATAGTATAACTATTTTACTTAGTGAAGGCAAACAGTCTTCAGAGGCGCTGTCTGCCCTTCACCAGTCCCTGGTGATGACATTTAGATTGGGAAGAGCATTTTTGGAGTCCATCTGGTGCAATGCCTGTCTCAGGCCTGGCCAACTTACACTGCATTGTTTACAGCCTTGCTCAGTTGGGTACTGGACCTCTCAGTAGGATATTGCATGACCTCTTTGGACACCAAGAAGTACTTTTATTTTCATTTCAGAGGTGTGACAGCAATAAAAGAAAAATTTTATTTTCCCACTGCTAAATGGATTCTCCTGCCATAGCTGAGCTCTGATCAGATGCTAAATTTCCAATTGTATACTCTTTCAGACCCCAGAAAGCAAGGATTTTAATTCCAGGATAACTTGTTCTGTACATTTAAAACTATCTGTTTAAACTGCAAAGTATTTATGACACACAAGGATTCAAGACATTAATATATTCCTAGACCACTAGACAAAATCCTTCTTTTTCAGGTTCCTATATCTGTACAAAAGGAAATAGGATTATTTAGTGTAGGAACATCTGAATTCTCCAGCAATAATAGTGAATATCTGAAATTGCTTATTTGATTGGAGTTTTTAAAACCAGATGCTGAAAAACTAGTGCTCTGGGAACAGCCTAGCTAAACCATCTTCACTGAAAAGCAGGACTTTTATACCAAATCTTAGTATTTCACCAAAAAAGAAGATTTGCTAAGTCCTTTCCTTTATATTTACAGACAAGCTTGTACAATTGTTCAGTTGAGCACATTACGAGTATTAGTATTTATTAGGTTTTTTTATTATTTATTAGTACATAGTAAGATTGCTATGTAAAAAAACCTGAATGTCTTTCAAATTTTGAGCCAATATCATCCAACAGAGCTTTACTCAAATAAAATTTGCTAAAAAACTAGAATTTTTTAAAAAACAAAATTTGTTAAAAAACAAATCATAAATTCATTCTTAATGTCAGTTATTTATTGCACAGACAGAAATTCTGACAGAAAAATAGTGTTTGTTTGCAGGATCGGATATTTCCTGAAAACCAGAATTTTACTAACTTCACACACAAAGAGTCCAATTGGTCTGTAAAAATAGTTGTAGATGGAAACATCTTAAAATGTATTAAAAATGGCATAGACCATATAAGAAATATAATTTAAAAACTTTAGTTAAATAACAGTTGTGTCATGTAAGACTGAAGAGGATTGAATTGCAATAGAACTCCTTATCTTTTAACTATCACTTCTTTCAGCTTTTTGGGGACAAGTATAATCTTAAAATATCAAGGCTACGCAGTGTGAGTCTCTGACAGTGTGTCTATCCCAGAATATTATGATATGGAGCATTTTAATCCTTCTCACCATCAAGTGCACAGAAGCAAAACAGATCAACTGCTTGAAATACTTGTAGACAATGGGTTATGTAATAAAAACTCTACATAGCACATATGAACTATCCAAGCTTGTTTTCACGACTACACGCAGAAGTTTCTGTGAGTTTGTGTGAAACATGCACACACACTCACATACAATGACTCAAAGAAACTCCAAGTAAATCTTAAAAATTACATTTGGGCTGTTGTCATGTTGTTTAGGGGTTTTTCTGTTTGTTTTGGAGTTTTGGTTTTGTTTTGTTGGGTTTTTGGGGTGGTGGTGGGTCTTTTGGGTTTTGGGAGTTTTATTAATTTGATTGGTTCATTTGGTTTGTTGGGTTTTTTAAATAACTGCCAACTGGTATTATAAAATTTATTCAGTGAGGAAGAGCTTTAAATCGCTGGCAGTATTGAACAGTTAAACTGGAGAAACCACGAAGTATTGAAGAAGTAGATTTTTCCCCTTTACTGTCTTATTCTCATGTATTTATTTTTATTACCACACTTTATATATGCTAGTTTCGAAATATATACTGATAACTACTGTGGACCAAGTATAAAAAACTCTACAAACTACAATTTTTAAAGACATTCCATTTGTGAATCTAAGCACATAACATAATATCAAAGCAAGACAACAGGCCATGGTATTAATTTATCTACATATGATGTTAAATACAGGTTACTTTAAGAAACATGAGCTAAAGAGAGAGGTCCTGCAAATCTACTTTTGCTTAAACAATGAAATTATGAACATAATACAAAAGAAAGAGCTTCATGAAAAAAAAAGTCCATTGCAAAAAACAAGATAATTTACTCCAACTGAGAATCTGAACTGAGTTATAAGAAAAAAATGGTGCAATGCACAGTGGTTGATACCATTTGTAGCATGTCACTCTCATCAGTAACCACAATGATCTAATTCATAACAGCTACAAATAAACATAAAAATTCTGTCAGCTTTCCATTTGCAGGAATTTAATAGATTTCATTATGCATTCATTCAAATGAACTATACACAGAGTGAAAAACTAATAATAACCTACTTTGTAACCTCCGTGTGGGACTCTCGCCATGGAGCTGTCTGCGTGGCAAATATGGTGAGGGATGGGGAAGTGGCAATGAAGAGACATCATGTGTTTGAAGTTTGTACCAGTGGGGTTCATCATCTAGTAATGCAGTCTCTAACTCAATAAGAATCTAAAAAAGAAAAAATGGTTAAAAGCAGGAAAGCATTGTGCAACAGAATATTTTAAAATAGATATACCCATGAAATTTATTCTATTATTTTCTTACTGCTAAGGACTTTGTCTGAAGTTATATAAAAACCTTGCTTTAATATGCAAGAATCTTCTGTGCGTTTTAGAACACTAAATATACCCAAAAATCGTTCACAAAACGCTTATTACCTTATGAGAGCCTTTACAGCTTTCAAATAGGTAAATGAGCAATGTTCCAAAGCTTTAGTAAAATATGACTATGGATAATATAGATTTGAATGAGCAATTAGAAATTAAGAAACCACGTTCATGCTGTTACTAAAACAGAAAAAATGCAGAAAGAATCTCATATCAGGATTATGTAATTTGTGTGAGATCACTGTTTGTTTACTACTAAGTGAAAGAAAAAGTAAAACAATAAAACCAGCTTTGCTTTGCGCAGTTAGTAATTTTTTGAAAATAAGTATCTATACATAAGTATGAGAGAGCAACTGTATTTCTATAGCAACTACCAATACTTGTATACCTCTCCTAAAAATTCACTTTCTTCCTCTCGAACTCGTGCTTGGTCCCAAAGAGTGATTTCTAACATTCGTTCTCTAAACTCTCTCCGATGAACTGGAGAATAAATAAATGTCTGATTCCACTTAGGTTCCAATGTTTTCTTTACTGTTTTTGTTCTTCTTTTATTTTTATCACTGAAAAAAACAGTTAAATATTAAATATGTTCAAAACACCATTAAACTGCATTAAGTATATAATTGGAAAATAGGAAATCTTAAATCAGCAGTTCAGTTTGTAGGATCAGGGGTACTATAATCTACATCACGTTATAATGGTCAGTGCATATATTGAGGATAATTCATAAGCTCACATTAAAAACTCAGGTTAGGTGATTTCAAGTTTATGTGCCAATTCCAATTTTAAGATGTTTCCCAAAACCCACAAATGTTTTAATATGATTTTGCATGTATTCTCTTTTATTTTGGAAACAGCATTTTATAAAATAAAATGTACTTCCATAAACGGGATTTCCACAAGGCACAGCCTGACAGTAGAACATCTCTACAGACAACATTGGGCATTGAGCTGCATTTCAAAAAAAATGAGCCAGCTGGTTCACTCAAGTTCCAGTCCTACAGCGGCTCCCTCCAACTGCAGAGCAGGAAGGAGCAGCTGGCCCACATGAAGGATGGGCAGGGACCTGGGGGCAGTGCAGGGCTTTCCTGGCTAAGGGCTCCTTATCCACCTGGGAAACCAGAAGCCCCAAAAACAAGTTACATGTTCTTTTCCAGCAATACTGGAACAAACAGCCTTCTCAAAACAGCTTCCCAAATCCTTTGGTCACTTCAGTGAATCACCAGGCCGAAGGTGGGCCTCCACTGTGAGGTGAGGTCTCCAGGCAAGGCTACCCTGGCAGCCTTGGCTCTGGCTCCAGGGTGCTGTTGAAAGCAATGTTTTTGCAGAATATTTCTGCTATAAAGAATTAATATTTTCTGATAGAAACATTTTTTGCTGGAAAACACCCACACTGCTCCTACTGAGAATACTGACAAGAGTCCTTATAACAATGCTTATTCTAAACCTGCTGATTGCTGCATAATGCAGCTGCCAGACTAACTTATAAGGATTTTTTAATAGGCAATGCAGATGCAGTCCATTCCTTAATACTTGCAATTTTAATAAAGTCATTGTATTTCTGAACTGTTACTTGGAAGTTGGATCAAAAAATTACCTAAGTAATAATACTTTTAGACACACTGTTAAAAAAGACCATAAATTATTTCTAGCATACTAAAGGTTTGTTTACCCTTGTGAACTAAGTTACATTGTACAATATTTTTCAATTAAACTTCTTAATTCAAAGAGAATTCAGCATCTTCATCTAATTAAATGCTTAACTTACTTAAGTGTATTTTACCTCCAGCATGTTTCTTTCTACTACACAAGAAATATACTGTTGCTTACTTAGCTTTTAAATCTAAGGAAACAAAATGAATTTCCACATCAGAAAAAAACCAAAATTCTGTGAAAAAAAACCAAAATTGCTGATCATAAACACATGAAACAACTAAAGAAAAGTTCTGAATGTTTCTCATAAATGGGAAAAAACATAGATTAATAAAATTTAATGTCAATATATTTTAGTTATCACAATTTACATTGTAAAACATTGTGAACACACTTTTGTTAGCCTATTAATAACTCATTATTATGGAAAAAGCAGGTAAGATAATTGGAGCAGACCTGATTCTCAGTTTAGCACAGCTTCAGCAGCTACAAACACACTACAGCATTTTGAATAAAGTAGGGATCTACACCAACTGTTCAAATACTGGTGAGCCTGAGAAAATCTATCCTTTTAATCATCAATGACACAGCAAATTAGGTAGTTACATAAAATTTGCTTGTCAACATACGGTATACAAAAAAAGTGGAAAAGCCACTTGGAAAAGTCTTCCAAAATACTAAATAGCTTTAATTCCTACTGAACTCAAATGGTAATGGAGATAGCTAGCATCTTCCCAGTTTAGCAATTCGGAAAAGCAAAGGAAGTAAAAATACAAGTTGCATTCTGTTCTACAGATTCAGTAATCCAATGATCTATTATTTTGAGTGGCAGTAAAACTTTGGATTATTTGGTTAGTACATTATAAAATAAAAGTAAACATGTCCCCCTACTGACACAATCTGAGGAAACATCAATTAAAAAAATAAACTGGAAAACACACTATCTCTTCTGCTGGTCTTCCCAACACCTAAATTGAAACACAGAAAATCATGGACTAAGAAGTGAAAGTGCTTTTCAGGAATAGGGATCCTACTATAGTTTAACTTTTCCTAAGTGCATCTATGATACCATCCAGATTTACACAAGTCCTGTGCTCTAGGGAAAATTTTCAAGGTGCAAACATGAACTCTCAGGTCCCCTTCAGCCTTACCTCAATGATACTGTGAACAAGTATCTGTGTGTTTCAGATGCCAAACCTGTTACTGCCTTAGTGTGTAAAGGTGGGGCAAACCAAACTTCTGGACTCATCAGTCCAGAAATTTATGAACCCAACCGTGTAGCAGCTTCTTTGCTCTAGAGAAGAATAACTGGCATAGGAAATACAGGCACTACAATACACTAATAACACTCTTTGCAAATAACAGATCCCCATGTTTACCTTTCCTTTCCTTTTCTATTCAGTATTTTATAATACAACCAGGGAAAGCAAGTTTGTACTTAGTGTTCAAAGACACCTTGCTGTTACATACTATGTTCAACACAAGAGCTCAACACTGCAAGCCATTATTCATGTAAGCATGGCTGACAAACTCAGCTGTGCATGTCACCTGAGTATCAGACTAATTCAAATATTCCTTGTTTTTGTGTTCACCCTACCTTCTGTCTGGAAGAAAGTAAATTTTAACATAAGGATTCCTTGGCCTTCCATCTTCCCTTGAAGGAAGATCCTTTGCTCCCAGTATGGTCACTATTAACTGATGACCAACCTTGTCATACCACAGTTTTATCTGTAGGAAGAAAATATTAATTAGTGAACTCATTTCCACAATGAAGTTGTATAGTAATCCTTAAAAATAATTTTTCTCATGAGCTTCTATTTATACTGGTTACTTAAACAGAAAATATTATATTCTACTTTTCATTTATAACAAAGAATAAAAATAAGTTAATGCTGTAATAGCTTCAGTATATACCAGGAGTTACTCTTTTTTTAAAACCCTGTACTATAAGTACCTTACTTCACACTAATTGTTTTTCACATGGTGCTCTGGTTAGGATTATTCTCCCTTGTATCGTATTACTTGCATTATTAATGTATAGTATTCATATATATACATCTCTGAGGAGTTTATGTACAATGAATTAATTTTTCATCGGCTGTTGTGCTAAAGAGACTATGGGATAAACCCATAAATATTTCATATCACTTAATGTTTTTCAACATATATACACTTATTCTGAAATAATACAAGTCCTCCATAAATACTGAGAGGAAGGCTCAGTAATCCAATCCTCTTCATAGCCCAACTCAGTAACAAGATAAAAACCACTATTATTCATTTGTAGAAATTGTTATTAACCAGTGTAAGGCTTGATTTGCTATCCTTTTTTACTACAGTCATTACAAGCTGCTATTTATCTATTTCAGTTTGAATTCTATGACTGCAAGTACATCAGCCAAGAAAGAGATATAACTACTCCAGAGCAGTCACTGCAGAAGGGGGAAATGGTGCAGTTAGGGCAAAACAAAGCCTTCCAAATAGCCAGGAAGCCACCGCATGCTGGTAGCACTGCAGTGCCTCTAGCTGCAGCTTACTGAGGAGCCTCTCCTCATGAGGACTTTGCCCAAGACAGGACAAACCAGGACATTTAAAGAAAACAGTGACCCTGCCTGAACTTAAGGGAATCAGAGAGGATAATGCCCAGCTGCACACCTTCCCAGGCAATACACCTTTAGGCATGAATATACCCTAGCACAGGTAGATATAAAGAGGAGAAGGTGCATTTTCTGTGGAAACAATCTCACTTAATTCCAGCGACAGGGTTTTCTTCTGCTATCATAGCTCCTCATCTTCAACATTTCAGTCTCCTAAAGAAAGGTCTTGATGTAATTCTCAAGACTTTTAACCCATAAAGAAGAGGCTAATTTAGCTCTCTGCCATTCCTAATACCTCACTAAGTGAGATTACACTAAGACACACCAACTCAGTTATTGGTGGCAGTGTACTTCTTCCTTCACTGCTTCAGATCTTGCAACTCTTGTAGCCACTAACCATTTGAATCAATATTAAAAATGGGATATTTGTCCTCCATTACCCTGTCATTAGCCCTGCTACAGACTTTAAATGCTTCTGGTACTAATAGTGAAAGGGCCCTGTGGCTAATCATCTCAGCGTGAATTTTAGATATTGTTTCTACATTCTTACAAGCCAGGGGCTTTGAGAGTATTTTTTCTACACTGAGAATTATCTGGACTTCTAGCTATCTACATCCAGCTACGGATGAAAAGCAGAAAGCTTGTATCAACAGTACACCTTTAATGACCTCTGAAGTGCAAGTCAACTTAAATGTTCTTTGACATTAAACCCACAGGTTTCCTTGGGAGTCCTGAAGCAAAAGACAGACTTGGCTAGTCCCACATCTCAAGGGGAATAGCACTGAAGAAAATCTTCTTCATTTGTTTTTTGTGGAAAAATATGCTTGCTTAAGGAGAATGAAATATATCTGTGATACAGATACTATCAAAAACTGTGACTGATGAATGTGAAATTATCTAGATATAGGCACCAAGAATACAACCAGAGTTATGTGTTCATATGCAAGCTAAATATATTTGTTTCAGACTGATTTTTACAGGAAAACTTCAGTCAAAATATTTAGAGAATTACTTAAGCAGAAACTGAAATAATCTGACACCACTTCATTGAGATGCTTTAACAACTGCAGTTTGGATCAGGAGCTCAAGATTTGCATTGACTTGTACCTTCTACTTTTCCCTTGATGTTCTGAAATAAAAAATTGGAAAAACTTGAACTTAATGGGCATATTTTCCCTGTAATGCTCTTTAATTTGCCTTGTTACAGGAAAAGCCAGGAGTCAGAATTAAGACCAGAAAGCTCTCTCTCCCCTGCATTCACACTGCTAGCACTCCAATACACAGCACAGTTACTTGTGACCCAAGGAGTCGTTTGACTAGGATGCAAGGAGAAGAAGGGAAGAAACTGTGAGAGAATGGTCAAAGAAGCCCATAGAGGGGAGAATGGGATTGCATTCTTATGGGATTAGAAGAAGGAAGAAGGGACAAATAAAAAGCTGCTTTATAATTACAGTGAAAGTAAAATAGACAGGATACTTCTTGGTGAAACACGGGAAGAATGAAACCACTAATGTCAGCGACCAGAGATTAAAAGAAGGGGGAAAATAAAATGAATGAGAGAAATGCTATGAGGTGACAAAATAACTAGCCATGCTAACTGGCACAAAATATGTTGAAAGACAGACTGGGATGAACAAGAATCTAGCAAGATGTTTTACAAACACACACACTTGTATAATTTTAGAACATCTAAGAAACTTCAACAAAGCAATCCTGATCTAAATGAAGGAAAGGGAAAGCTAAACTAACAACACATAAAATATGCTATATAAAAAATCATGCTAGCTGATGCTAATGTTGAGACTAACACCTGAACAAAACCTTCTTGAATGGGATTTTGTCTGTCTGGGTTACTTATGATGTAGGCACTTAAGATTTGCTTGGAAGTGGTGCAACCTGAATACTTTCCCACTTTGCACTGAAGTCCTGGAGACAAATGAGCCATACACATGCTCATATACTTTCCTTCCCTGGGCTCCTTCAGCAGCCAGACATGCACCTAATGCTTTATTAAGCTTTTGCTGTGACCTACATTCAGGCAAACAGGCATCTAAATTCAGAGCATCCTGATACTGAGATGGTCTGTTATTCACAGAGGGGTGCATCTGCTGCAGACAGGCTGCCAGGTAGGAATAACTGCCACAGAGTGCAGGAAGCAGGAACTCTTCTGCAATCAAAGGATTGAAGGAAACAGAGATGTGGGTCTGACCCCAGCTTCATTCTTTCTGGTTTTTAACCACTAGTGTTCTAATACAAGAACAATACATGTCTGGAACCAGCCATGCTAAACTGAAGCATGCTTTGGTAACACCACACACTCCCATTCCCAACCAAAATGTGTCTCAGCTTCAGATGAGACTTGGTACTCCAGAGAAGAATGCAATGTGGCATAGCTTGATAATAAAGGCACTATTTTGATACACAGGTTCAACCTCTTCAGTCTAAACAGTATTTAAACAGCAGTATATGTCCTGCTTCTGGAATAAGCTTCGTACACAAACAGTATATAAAAGCTGACTGCTGCTGCTGAATTTTGAGAAGTGAGGATGCAGGTATCTAGTACATCTAGCTAGCATTCCTGGTTCACAGAGTCACAGAATAATGGGTAAGATTGGTCCTCTGTAGCCTCAGTAGAAGGTGCCCCCCCTGGAGAATCAACTCACTCTCTGGAGCAGCCTTAGTTTCAAATAGATTTAATGGGCTTAGGTGTCTTTTATTTGGGTTAATCACCCACTGCAGGTATTGAGGTACTTAGATCTTTCCTTCAACTGTACAAGTGAAAGATCTTCCTCAAGGCACCTGTCCTGGGTTGACTATATGATGCTTTTATCCCCAATCATCTCATTCTGTTTATGTTGAATGATAAGTTTTGCACCTTTATTTGAAGTTAGTATAAGTTATATAAATTAAGGATATAAATTCAGTTTACTAGATTTCATCTTTTTCTATTAGATCTCATCTTCACTAAAATTTTAGAGCACTGACTGAGGTCAGAGTTTAGAAAAGAAGTAATCATGTATAAGAACCCCCTACTCTTATTCCCCCTGATAAGGGAATCAGTTAAGAAATTCTCGAAAATATTATTGTTGCACCTCCAATACTCCTATCTCATAAATGTTTGACTGTTTCCTCAACTATGCAATTCTATGTAGTTTTATACACAGGACATACAGGCAAAATTTATCTTCAGCCATAATTTAGATTTAGAAACAGAGAATATTTGAAGTTTTAAATCCTATGCTACAGTTATATCTTTGTTATATAAGGGTTACTTTATGAATCTCATGAAAAGAGATGAAACTTGTGCCACTGGGAGAGACCATCTGCCCTACAGCTGATTTTTACCACACAACCTACTCAAACATCTCTGGCTTTTAGAGACAGCTGGCCAGACATTTTTTTTCCTTCTGTTGCTCATTATAATTTTTCATGTAACCTACACAGATGTTTATTATGTTTATTATTATTTTAAAATTATATACTACTTTTCTTTCTCACATTATTCTAAAACTAAAAATATACCAGCAGGATCTGTTGTTTGACAAAAAAAATCTCAGTTTATTTTAAAAAATACTTGCAATAATCTTTTTTTGGACTTAAGCTTATGTAGATGCTGAAACTGCCCTGAGGTGTTGATGTCCGTGGCATAGCTGAGGCCAGTTTTGAATGTTGTTAAACACACCTCTAAAAAATCCTGAGCACTGAGGGTTGCTAATTCAAACTACTATTGCTTTCTGCTTCAGCTGCTGTCTAATATGCTTGAACAATTACAAGAAAAGGCTGTCAAATGGAAAAGCATGTAGGATATAAAGGCCAGGAAATTATAGAAGTATTTATGCTGCCCTAATCTATGTTTCTTTTTTAAATCTCTTTTTTAGTAGTTTCACCTTTTAGATATTTTTATACATGATCAAATAAATTGATGTTCTGTATTAAAGCCAAAAGGATGGCTGAAATTTTTGAAGTTAGAAAAACCCAGAGGCAACTCTAGCTCAAAAGAATGCTTTGCCAAGTAAACAAGAGATACTGCATAGAAAACACGATTTTAAGAACAGATTTTTCCCTACAGAGATTCATAAAGCATCACTCTGCAAGTTTGAAAATTACTGGTATGGCAAACTGAATCTAAAAGTTCAGGAAATAAAGATGCACTTTTACAAGTAATGTAAAATTAGTAAAAGCTCGGTGGGCATTTGATAGGAAAGAAACTGAATGTCTTTCTTCCCAATGAAATAATGATGATTGTATGAAATCTCCCAGTGAGCTAGAAGATGAATGCAATGTCATGGAGGGAAGTGTGGAAGAGAAGCTTTTGCCAGAAAGGATCAGTTTCAGAATAACAAGTAAAGAAGATGCAAGCAAGAATAAAGATACACATTTCCTGTTTAGAGTGATGAAACAAATAAGTATAAACAGAATGTTTGGAGATTTTCATTCTTGTAAGGAGTTCTACAGGCACAGCTATACCTCAGCCCACAATGAAATGTATACTTCCTGACAACCGTAAACAGCAGCTCAGAGCTCTGATTTAGTGAATTTGTCATGCCAAAAAAGTAACCAGAATTCTGCACTGCTGCTGGACTGCTCCTAATACCCTTGTTTGAAGACCACTGGAGAATTCCTGTTCTTTCAGCAGCTTGCATGGTGACTATATCTAACATTAATCTTTTTATACTATCTACTATCACCACTAGAAGTGGGCAGATGGATCACTTTTTGTTTCAGAGTAGGTGCAATGATTTTGCCAAGGTCATAATTTTGAGCTCTTCAGGAACTCTTGTCAAAACCCTTATGTTTAGCATGGACTGTTACTGGGCTCTGCAAAAAAAAAACTTAGATAAGTCCTTAGATAACAAGGACTCCACAGGCACTGATTGTTTAGACAAAACCGGGGGTAAGGACAATTATTACCTACAATATAAAAAATAATGCATCCAAAGGGTGAGCAAGTAAGCCTTAAACATTTTCACCTCTTGTTAGATACTTTCTAGCAAACGACTTTCTTTTCTTTTCTCAACTACCATAATCATTTGAGCAAAGTATTTTTTTTTGTTTCATGAGATGATATTAGTCTAAGTGGAACAGACAACATTTATGTCTATGTCTTTATTTTGTATAATGAAATTAAAATATGGAACTACTACATGTTATTTCTACATTACAGTGTTTCATGAAACATGCAGATTTCAGGCAGAGATTTCCTTTTTAACTTGAAGAATAAACTTTCATATAATTTATAATTTATTTAGCACATATATAAAAAGAAATAAATATTAAAAAACTACTTATATAATATTTACCTCTATGAACTACTTAACAACTTGTAATTGTACCTCTACAAATTCATTATCATGAGCAGAATACAGCTTTCTTAATCGTGCTAAAGAAGGTTTTAAATTTTTCATACAAAGCCAGCTTATGTCAATAGCACATAAATTAGCTTTAAATCATACAATCAAGGCATTATTTTATAATCTCTTTTTTCTTTGGAAGTTCTTAATTTTTGAATTTATATTTAAGCAGTTGTAAGGAATACTCTTGAGAATACTGCATTGTGAAAAAAGTGTACTTAATCAAATATGAGTCATATCTGATGTCTTAATTACAGTCTTATTTAGAATTCCTTTATAAAAAAAAATTATCTCTTTTCCATTTCATAATGAAATTCAGTCATCTCTTTCTGATCACTTAGGTCATCCTTTACATTTTGGTCAATTAATCAAAGAAAAACATTTATGAAACTGCCACATAAAAGATTAACATCTCCATAAAGATATTTTGTAAGAAAATCAGATAATATTCTGGTTAAAAAAAAAAAAAAGAAAAACATGCAGCAAAGCAAAAAAAGCATTGTGAAATATTAGTAAAACCTATTTTTTGCATAAATCTATCATACCTTAGAAGCTTCCTAATGAAAAAAAGGCAAACAACTTGTACCTAAACAGAATATCAAAGCTGAATAAATTCAGTAAGACAATGGGAGAATTTTTTTTATTCAAGTAAAGTTTTGGCTATATTGATGTACTTAAAAATGCAAGAACCAAGTTCCATAAACAACAAATTTGTTTATTTAAACAAGGTACAATTTTTTTGCCCATCTTCTACTCAAGGCGCTACTATTATGAGGAAAATGCAAAAAAAAAAATATGTGTTAAGTAATGATAATGAATTATTTAAAGAGACATTCATCTTTACATAATAAACTCAAGCACAAAATTATTTATTGCCTAAACAATGCACAAATATTTTATGTGGGATGCATAGTCATCATCACTATTGAAACCTGTTTAATATTGGGCAACTAGAAAAAACTAGATGTCTCTTTAAATTAAATTTAATATTTTAATCCCCATGCAGAATTTTACAAGCTGATCACAAGATAACATGAAAGTTGTTAATATGGTTTAAAGCAACACACTCAAAATATGGGAAAACGGACTATAATGTAACGTTTTCCTACTATGCATTTTCCATAACAAACAAAAGAAAAACCCACAACTTTAGTTTCTGTCAGGCAGACGAAGTCTTTACCTGAACCCTAGGAACAAAAGGCGTTGTTCTTCTACTAAGGCTTTGGCTCTGGTAAGCAAAATTAAAGAAAAAGCAATAAAACAAAACCAAAAACGACAACACGCTGGAAACTAAAAGACCAAAAGTAAAAACAAAGACACATAACTATTACTTTAAACACAGCTTTACACCAACAACATATTTATCTAACAAAAAGTATTTTAATGCAATGCATAAATTAAATCTGCAAATCTGTTACCAAATCATATCAAAACTCTTTTGTGGAAATTCTTGCTGTAGGGAAGTCAGCAGGAATTTTGCCACTGATTCCCCACGAGCAAGGATTTCTCTTTGCAAGTCTATAGACAACATTTACAATAGATTTAGAAATAACATGTAACAGAAACAAAAGGTAAGCAAAGTGTGATTTAAAAGTGGGGTTGGAAACATAAGGTTGATCATCTCTTTCAGGGAGATTGTACATGCACATTCAGAGAGAAACAAGTACAATTCACATACTGACAGCTTTGGTTACTTAGGAAAGTGAGTAAAATAAAAGGTTTCCTCTTTTTTGCAACTTTAAGAGTCATGTCTTTGATAAGTCCTCCTAAATATTTAGAAAACAATTAAAGAAAGTTTGTGCTCTCTGGTATTAACTTTACTTGAGGGAAGGTACAATGTATTTATATTCTCTAGCAATCACAACAGAAATGACATATGGTATACACACAAAATCCTTGCATGAAATGGGATCTAGAAAATTTAACAAACTGCATGTATAGATGCATTTATAACATATTTTTGTGCTGTAACACTTCAGACCCCATACAGCCTTGTGGCCACCAGTAGGTTCATCAAGACTACATTGAGTACAGGCAACACAAGTTCCTGGACTAGCTGCAAATTCCAAGCAACCACTCCTCACCTTCAGCTTAGGGCAATAGCTAATGGAGTGGCACAGAATTAGTACAGAGTATAGGGCATGGACAGGAAAAGGAGCATCTGTTGATACCTCAGAGGGCTGGTGAGTGGGAGAACAGGAGCATGGAGTAGGTCACAATAATCACAGCCATCTGAAAGGTTGGAATCTCCTTTACTTATGCTCAGTTTTCCTGATATTATTGTTCTAATTCAAAATGATAGAAAAAAGCTACTACTCAATATTCACTTCCATTAGAAATGTACTCAAAGCATGGAAATAGGCACTGTGCTGATGCTTCTGTCACCTTCCTTGCTTATTTGGCATGCACAGATGATCAAGAAATCTGTTCTATAAAATGTGTGAAATAATCTGTTCTTATACCAAAGAAAGAGGATACATAAGAAAATTTGGCAGTCTGGATCACGGGTTTTGTCTGATGTGCTCCCTGCGTTCTGCAGGGTGCAGCAGCTGCACTGTACCTGCCACTCTGCACAGGCAGGACTGCAGAGCCCAGAGTTAAGGGTGTCAGAATGTGACCTAGTCACAATAAAAGTAGACCTTCAGCTCGTTTCAGTTCAATTTTACAAGGGAAAAAAAAATATCACAGGATATTGCAATCCCAAGAGGGACAGAATCTCTCCCACCATGTACCAAGGGCTCTCACCTGTCATATTCTGCCTTGGAAATGGAGGAAAATCAATACATTGTGTGCACCACCTAGAACTTTCCAGGTTTTGGTGTTAGAGCAACAGCAATTTAATTTTATAGAGGTACAAAGGGAAGAAAGGAAAGGAAAAAGAACACATGAAAGGGGGGGGGGGGGTAGCACGTGTTGTACTTGATCTCATCCCCTCAATGTGCTGACATATAGGCCCTTATTAATGTACCATAAAGGCTTTCAATTATGTTGTATATATTACAACCATAATTACTATAACTTTATTTTTTTTATTGCTTTATAAACTGAATATGTATGGAAAATCCATTGAAGTGGTTCTATGGTTCAAGTGTACAGGGATATAGATTAATTTTATAAATGATACCCTTTTTCTGCTAGAACTTCCACCAGCACAAAAATTTAATAATGTGATTTTATACTGGTATTCATTTACATGGTCTTATGTTGTTATTCCCCAAACCTAACTATTGGAAAAGAATTTCAAGTTATACTTTTCATACAATATCAAAAATGTAGATAAAATTCAGTAGTTAAGCTAAGAGCACCAACATACAAGGAATACTTTTGACTTTTTCAAAATTATATTAAAGGAAAAACAACTCAGTGAAAAAATACAGAAACAGAAATGAGACAAAGCAAATAATAGAAAAACTATAATTGCAATAACTATCAGATACTCCCCTGAAAAACAACATGAATAAAAAGTGCTATAAAATAAAACACAGATAATATGGATAAATTATATGAGCAAGTTATAACACACAATAGTTTACTGTAGTTGCACATAATTTGTTCAATTACATATGTACTTGGCCAGAATAATTATTAATGTAAAGAGGATTTTCTGTCTATGTGCAATGGTTTACTTTGTGGTCAATCCTATTAGTCAGCTCTAGACTGACACTGTGACCTCCACAAAGAAAACACTTACACAGACCAGTGCCAATACAGAGGAAAACACGGAAGACTGAACAGACAAAGACATCCCTGAATGCTACAGTGGCATTGCTGCAGCTAAACCAGCCAAAACCATACTGAACCTAAAGAAATAGATTCCAAATACCAACTTATATATAAAAATGCTTTAAGCATCTATAGTACTGTTTGAATAAGCCTATACTCCAGTATTCATTCAAATACTTCAGACTTTCATCCAAACTGTTATTTCCATTTCTGCCTACAACTTTTGTATTTCACTGCCTATGCCAGTAACCACAGCTGCACTAACAGCAATCCCTCAGGATACATGCTACTGTTCAAAGGCACAGAAAATACAGAAAACACTTCCAAAATCTTGCCTTTCATCTGTTCCCCTCAGATCCATCACACCTGCTTGAATTCAGCCACCATCAACCAGAATATCACTGACCCACCACTTCCACAAAAAACAATCCTCATTTACTAATTTACAGCTCGTTTGTTGCCAGGATTCTGTAGTTATTCTCCTGTCTAGGCACTCCCCACAAAGAGCACATTCACAATTACATTCAGAATTTAGTATTTCCTTTCATTTCTACCTTACTTAGCCATTTTGAATGAATATATTATCCATCAACTGTTCTGCTAGAAAAGAGACGATTAAGACATGGAAAACAAAAATACTGAAGCACATCCATTTTGAAGCAATCAAAATAAAATATCTTTTGTAACTTTAAAATTCAGATTTACCTTACTACTTCACTTTTGTTAAAGATCTAAAATTAGAAAATCTCATAGTTTATTCTATTTTTTCAAAACATCTCTAACTTTACAAACAGGATTTTTTCACTATCTTTTCTAAAGTTTCAAAACTTCCAAAAATGGTAGAATGATAAACCCAAATATTAAAAAGTGAAGGAAAAACTATTCATCATACTACTTTCAAGAACATAAACACCCAAATCTGATGTCACAACATTTTTAATTTTTCAAAACTATCTTAAAGGATCAGACCAAAACGAAAGTACATTGATTGTTTTGAAAATACTCTTCCTGTAGAATACTTCAATTCTCCTGAGGTCCTCTATTTCTAAAAATGCATATTAGCTTATACATCGCCATTTGCTCACCTAGACCCCATGTTGCCACCTATGCAGAGCATCCTCAGACACTATGACAGCCATCTTTGCTAGCAAAGCAAAAAGTTTAGTACTTCTCTCCCAAAGTCTTGACCCAACAGCAGCAGGAGCTGGTTTGTGCCCTTAACATGATTAACATGAAATACAGCTATTTCCATTGTTTCATTAGCTGGGCAGACAAGGCCAGCTTCCAAACTTTCAAACTGCCTATTAATTTTAGATGTCTAAATTGCAACTTTAGAGAGTTACAGAGGATTTCTGACTTCAGTTTCATCCAGCTGAAGCTTTGTGTTCTCAGATAGGTATCAGCTGCTCTCTGAGGGAAAGAGATAATATGAAGCAGGGAGTATTGAACATAATTGCAAACAGTAGATAAGAAAGTACCCAAAAAAAGGCAAATATTTTCTAATGCCTTGTAATGTTATTGGGTTTCCTTAGATGGAAAAAACATTTTAGAATAGGCATTTATATATTGAAACATTAAAAAAATAAATAAAAATAGGAATTATGTCTTCTTGAGTTAAACACTGAATTTTTTATGCCATTCTGAGAAATAAAACCTTTGGATTTCTGTTATTCTCAACAAAATAGAATATACCTCAAAATTTCCCAATACTATGATTATATACCTTGAACTTCAGAAACCTATGAAGCTCCTAAATCAAAAGACTTACTGACTTTACTAAAAAAATCCTAATCTTAAACTCATGATTTTGATCTGAAACTGAGAAAGTGAGAAAGTCAGTTCTATGTGGTTTCTATTTGGATAATTATTCCATTGTGTGTGTGCACTGGTCAACTGAGCAGCTAACTCTGGCTCTTGAATTTCCTGCTGGGAGCTAGACGCCACAACTTTTTGATAGCCTAATCTTTTATGAAGTTTGGAAAAAAGGAATTTCTTCCTTGTCTCCCCTATCAACAATTTTTACTGTCTTGTAAAAATAAGGTTTTTAGAAAGTTTGTTCAGTGTATTCTGACAGTTCATGTTCCCTTGTCATTGTACTTTTGCAAAGCACTTTGAATTCTGCAATCAAGATTTTTAGTTTTCCATTTATCCAAACGATTGAATATTTGAAAGTAGTTAAGTACAACAACTACAGAAAATTATGTATTGTAAATGTTTCTTCTGATGAGCAAACAAGTAATGTCTCATGCACCGCAAGATGAAGCCAACAAGGCCACTGAAGAGACAAAAATATTCTCTGTCTCCTCTATCCATACCATAAACCATTTCTGTGAGACCTAGAAACAGTCTGCTTGGATTTTATGCATATTTTTATGGTACACTCAACATATACAACTTGGAAGTAACATGAATGTGACATTTCCAAACTTCTTAAAAACCAGTTTTGCACTGCTTCCCTTCCATTTGCCTTTCCTTTTCAATATGTCGGGCTTCACCTGAGCACTTTTAAAAAATCACACTTTGGAATTTTAAATAACATGGAAAGATGCACAAAACCCAAATTTTTCAGTTTATTACAAAAAAAGTATCCTTTAAAAGAAAATATTCATGTAATGAACTTTCTTCTCAGTGAGAGTGAAGAACAAAACTGAGTAACATCAGTACAAAGACTACAACATGAGTAAAATATCAGAGGGATATCTGGGGAAGTTATATATGAAAGTTAGTGCATAAGAAATAACGAGTTGTAACATCCAGGCACACAGGTAATAAAATCTACCAACTCTACACACAAGTATGACAGTTGAAAAAATGTTTACTCTCAACAGCACAAACATAACTGGAGGCCAAGATAAGACCTTTAGGAAAATTTGACTCTACATGTCTAGCTTACCAGATACATATACATGTATATATCAAATTTTCAAAAGCTAATAAAAGGAATATGATTATGAAATTCTGTTCCTGCCTAGACTGAGATGTATAGCATTAAACAAAAAAATGTAGCTAGTTTAACAAGAAATTTCTGTAGCTAGCACTACAGTAAGAGTTGTATATGCTGCAAAAAGTACAACATTAAAATCAATGAAATGTTTACATACTGAAAGTTGTCCAGACAAGAACTGTGGAACATCCCTTAACATGCCAGGACTCATAGGAGAAGTCACTGAAATAGAAGGTCGGTCCATTTTTTGAGATTCAAATGAACTAGAACCTGTAATTATAAACAAAAATATTTTATACATAGTAGAAGTTATGCATATATTTCAACACACTTTAAACAGAAATGGTAGAAATATAACCAAACATGCAGTAACATTGTGAAAATTATCAGTTTTTAAAATCTATTTAAAATTACTAAACGATGATACTCAATCTTTTGGTGATCAGATGCAATCAGGAGCTTTTATTTATAGAATGGAATATAGATTATTCAGATATTTGTGACTGTAATTATGTCAGTAAGTTGAAGGTCCAAAAATAAACACTTCACTGTGGTCAAATGAATTCAGTCTTCTGAGTTATTATCTCATACAATCAACTAATTTTTAATTAGATTTTTATTTTTTACAAAAATATCAAGACGTACGCAATGGTTTTGTACATTTTGTTTCAAATCTACAAGGTCTGAAAATGGTCAGAGGACAAATTTTGACAAAACATAGAGGAAAAGTGAAGTATTTTTGTAAAAACAAAAGACAATCCACATCTCACAAAACATAAAATTAATTTTAAAAACTGGGCAATGAGTAAAAAGTCATTGAAGGAGTTTTTCATATTATTATAATCAAGCTTATGCCATTTCATTTATTCGTGGCTTCTATTATAATAGCGTTCTGAAACAATGATAAAAAATAACTCCAGGCTGAAATCCATCTTATCAGATCCAAGCCAAAGAACAAGTTATTCTTCCCTACATGAAATATGGGTTTAGTCAATTTAAGTACCAGTGATTGGCTCTAATAAAGTAAGGGTATTCTGAGTTCAAAGTAGCTATCACTCAGGCTGTAAGCAAAAAGCATTTCTTTCCCATTTTTAGTTTATAAGATACTATTGAAATGCAAAGAAAGAGAAGAGGAATTTAAAATTGCTATTAATGTTTTTTTTTTATATTATTTAGAATTACATTTTCTTCAATCAAAACTCATCTTATCTTATAACCAATGTTGAACCTAAATCACAATATTCTGTTTTGATAGCTTATTATTAAACAAAGGTAGATAGATAATACACTAAGATGACATATGGAGACAAATATAGACAAAAAGACAAGACCTATACTGATTGCAGAGGACATTTTTCATTCTATTTGTGCTTACATAAAAGAGAGAGAAGATTTTCCTACCCCACAATTGAAACTTACTGGACTCCAGCTGTGCATGTGTGCTGTCGGGTATTCTGGGAATGTCCCTGAAATCAGGAAAATTAAGACAGGCTGATCCTTCATCTAACAACATATTTAAATTTCAGTTACACTATAACACTTCCCAATCCATCATGGAATGCCTCAGGAATGGTGCATGATCTGCTGGCTGCCTTCAGCTACTGGGATGATTATCTGTTATCCAGTATAAATAATTTCAGTGTCAACTTAAATCCTACAGAAAAGATTTGGTGGAAGTAGGGAACAGGCTGCACAGTCATAAATAAAATAATTCAGTAAATAAAAGAACAGTCTCAGAGTTAATTGTAGACTAAAACTGTGAGTAGTAGCTTGACAATGACATTATACATTAATGAAATTTACTGGACCCTCACCAAAAGATACTCAGCTGCCAATCATGGCTATCCCAGCACATTCTTTACTGAACTTGAACCACAAATTCAATCTATCTTACCTTTTCCATAACCAAATAAAATGTATAAATTCATCTGGCAAAATTGCATTCGTTCATATACAAGACATGTTGCAGCACGTGCATTAAATTGTGTGCAGAGCCACATAATTTTAAATCACTCAATCACATCCCCCCAAGCAAAGGAACATATTATTCCTCTGGAGGGGCAAACATTACAGTATGCTAATAAAAATGATCAATATGCTAATAAACAGTTTCAGAGCTATTTGAGCAAAACCGAGCAAGATGAAGAGCTTCAGTTCTGAGTCACAGCAAAACCAATATTTACAATCCTGTTGTTGTGTGTTTCAGTGCAGTTGGTTTCTCCAAGGCCACAGCCAGTCCTGAGGGGGGGCCATGGCGAGGAGAGGCTGTGGCTGCACCGTGCTGGGCCCAGCTGGCTCCTTGGGTGCCTCTGTGATAACATATTTAATAAAGGACAAAACAGCTGTGCAGCAGCTGTGAGAGAAAACAATGAGGAAAAAAAGGAAATGAGAGAAAAGTCATTGCAGACACCAAGGTCAGGGAAGAAGTGGAGGGGGAGGACTGGCTGCAACTCCCTTTCCCCATGCCATGGACTGCTTCGTGGAGAAGGAGGCAGAAAAACCAGGGGGAAATGAGTGAATTTGAGCCTGGGAAAAAGAGAGGTAAGGGTAAGAGGGCTTCAGTTTTGGTTTTATTTCTCACTATTCTTTTATTTTATTAATTCCTAGAAATTTAATCTTCCTCAAGTTTGTTTTGCCCACAATGGTAACCACTGAGTGGCTCATAAACTTTTTCATCTTATTTCCTCCCCGAGTCCTGCTGAGGAGGGAAATGGAGAGAGCAAGTCTTTGGTGCTCAGTCAACCCACCACAAAGGTAAATGAAAAGGAAGGGGAAATGAAAAAAGTTCCAGTGATATCTACTGTTTCATACAATGAAAAAGTCAGTATGATACATAAATAACTTATCTATTTTCTTTAATATCTATTTGCTTTAGAAAAACTTTTCCAGAATACTTTCAGTATATCTTTTCCAAATATTTTTCAAGACTCACTAGAAAGACAGCTTTACTAAGTAGACGAGGAATCTTTCCAAGTGAGTTGATGCACAGTATCCAATAATTGAAATAAACCAGAAGGCATGAAACTGCTCTAAGTGCTCAGTACAGACAAGAAAAAAAAAAAATCTCTGTTGTTAGTACCCAAAATTTGTGAGAAAATCACAAGCACTGTTGAAGAAGCAAATATTTAAGTTTGTATATAAGGAGAATTTATAACAGGATCCAATACTTGCCTAGTAATTGACTCAGAGTTACACTCTCGAGCTTAACTCATAAATACAAAAAAACTTCTACCATATGAGTCTGACAAGAAAACCTTGGGAAAAAAAGATACATATATATTACATAAATCATTCTGAACAGAATGAATAGGAGTTTTCTATAGATAGCTAAAAAAATAAACTTGAGAGCTTTGAACATTATCATTTACACTCCTAAAGCATACAGATCCCCATATTTCATGATAGTGTGAATGGTTTTTCTTATAAGGAACTCTCATAGAGATAAACAGATGGAGGAGAAGTATAATTAGTTTCATAAAGACTCTTTGCATAGTAAGTCATGTTCCACTGCAAGCAGGTTGTATAGAGTAATTATTAAAACACAGTGCACTATTTCTTCCAAATGCAAAACTGAAGAAATCATGAAAATAACATGTTCCCGTGCATAAGGGACAGCCAGCTCAACTGATTAGCAATTTGGCCATCAATTTTATTCTAAGATTTAAAAAGTGATAAATTGCATGATAAACTGGCATGTTTTGTTTTGTTGGGATTTTCTCAGAATGGCTTTCAATTTTATCTGCCTTGTCAGCTTAGCTTGTCATCTTCAGTTTTCATAAAACTCAGCCCGTAATAAAGAGAAAAACAAATAACTGTCTTTACTTGAATTGGGTTTTGTTCTCAGAATATCAGGATGTGTACAGGTTTTCAGCTAAGTTCATTTCTGGTAACTGAAGATTTCTTGCACTATTTTAAGTGTTGCCATGAAACCATCAAGAAATTCTCCTTATAAATAATAGGATTTATCTCAATCCAAAAGCAAAACTCTTCAACTGGGCATTGATAATTCTAATAAAATAAATATTACTTCTGATATCTAGGAAATAAGAACTTTTAAACATTGTGCATACACTGAAACTTTACTTCCCAGAGCAGAAGAAAATCTTATGAAGTTATGGTTCCTTGGACAAACATAACTTATTAATTTTTGTTGTGCATTTGATTCTGAACATAAATCTTCTAAACTGAAAAGAGTAATAGTCTTTCTAGTTCACCAGCTCTAACCTCATGAAAAACATTTCTGACATTATGCTGTTAATATCAAACTCCTAAGAGTTACACACACCTAACCATAATCTAAAACCTACCAATTTGTAGGAACTATTCATCACTGAGACTCTTTTACATATACTGCAAACTGACACTGGGAATCAAATACACTGATCTTTTATCACTGATCTAGCTCCGTTCTTCAGACTATGAGGTAAGTGGTTATGCAGAAAAAGGCATCTTGAGAGCCAAGAACACTTGGTTTAAGGAATTACAGATGAGCTGCTCAAGTGACAGCAACATAATGGAGGGTATGATGATAAGGAAGCTGAAAAAGAGGCAGCAAATATAAAAGCACAAGAAATAATACAGGAGATTTTACTCAATGAAAAGAATGCAGAAGGATTTTTAAAAATAGGTTTTTTCAAGATGTGAGTTGTTCTGAGAAACTTTTGCTCTAAACTTCTATTAGAGAGATACTATGGAAGATTTGTGCATGAAATTAATTTGAGACCTCCTTTTCTGAGACAAGTAATGTAGTCTGTCCCTTAGCATTACTATTATACCCACACCTCCCAAGTTGTGCAAAGACATGACAGATGATACAGTCATTACCCTAAAGGGGTTGCAATTCCATATGTATACAGGACATAACCTCTCATCTCAGTGACAACATAAAGCTAGTTTTTGTTATTATCAAGTTTGTTTAAAATTGTCATACCAAATTAAATTCCTACACCTTAAGTTCCTGATGTGTCCAACCCAATAAGTTCCTATTATAGCTGAAACTCTAATAGTGTCATCCTCACTGAAATGCCATTCTCAGATTATATAGTTCTAGATTTTTTTTAGTACTTCTTAATTTTTAGTCATGTTTTCTTATATTAAGTTAATGTGCATCTTATACAAAATAAAGAGATACATATATTTATTTAAATGTGAAGATAAAATCCTTAAACAGTCCAGGTTGGAAATGATCTTGAAAGATCACCTGGTCCAACCTAAAATGGAAAAGGGAATCTAGATGATATTACCTATCACCCTGTCCAGTTCTATGTCCCATATATCACAAAAAATTCTGGGGAAAAAAAAGAAAATTCTTAATAACTGTAAATATCTTCAAAATCAGTGATAATCATTCCCCTCTTCACAACCCTGATGTGACCACATACGGAACTTCCAATGGAGAATTAAAAACATGACACATGTGCTTTTAGGGTCTAGGAATTTGGAAGAAAAAGAACAGTTGAAGAAGAGGAAGTACAGTCCAATACAACAAAGCAGCTACTGCTACGCAAGAAAAAATAAAGTTTAGACCTTGAGAGGTAGGTTTGAAGCTTAATAAAAATGGGCAATGTACAGCACTAAAGAAAAAGTCCTATACAATTCTAACTATTCATTAAAGTGTGTTCTGTATTGCATAACAAGCGATAATTTAATAGTTCCATAGATGAAGGTGATGTAAATGTGGATTAAGGCTTTCCAAAACATATTGATCTTTTCATTAGCATATTATATTTCACACAAAATTCTACATTGCAGATTGTCAATAAATGGAGTTCATCATCAGTTCATAGACTAGTTATGATCTCATAATTTTACATATGTATTATAAAAAATGAGAATAGAGAAATAAAAATCAACAGTCAAGAATCCCAACAACCAGTATAACCAGTTTCAGTGCCAATATAGGCTGGCTTACCAACTGAAAAGCCAGAGAAGGGAACATATTTTTAACCATAACAGCAGATGATGCCTGAGACTCTGAGAACACAGGATTTCACACCAGCTCTTTTTACTCACTGGCATGATCTATCATTCTAGCTACAGTTTTGGTTTACAGAATTTTGTGTAAGATTTTTCTTTTTACAATGTCAATGAATGTTTGATATACTCCATCCTAAAAGTGAACAATTTTATAATATTTAATATAAAACACATGAAATTACTTACCCTATTGGTCTTGAAACTACAAGCTCTACTTGTGGCTCAGGTTTGGATTCTAAAATGATATTATACACCTCCTCAAAGGTGGCTCCTTGTAGTATCCTTCCATTCCATTCTAATACTTCATCACCTGTAAGTAATAACACCTTGCTTAGGAAGTTTGCTGTGGACAGCACTTACAAGTACTATTTAACCCATTCTACTCTCAGTTTATTGGATTGTGAAACCTGTATTATAGAACAAGTTTGGAGGCCTTCATGCAGGAAAAACTTGAGTATTAAAGGTTTTCTGCAGCTCAGCCTCAAACATGTAAAGTTCTGTGAAACAATGATATAATCAGTAGGACCCCTACTGACTCAGATGGTGCTCTTACTTGCTTTGGCAACTGTGGCTTACAGAAATCCCAACATGCTCTTTAGAAAATTCATAACTAAAACATCATATCTCATCAATTTGGTTCAGATAGTTCATATGCCAATATTTCTTGAACATCCAGTGTAGCAATCTATGGTTTGTATGTTGGAACAGAAGCAGCTTCCTAGGTAAGGTGGTTCTGCTCATATCTTTGTGATAGCTTGGTTTGCTCTAAACAAAATATACACCACAAAATGACTGGGGAGGGCATCAACAGAATATTACTTTGAGTATAAAACTGAGCAAAAATATTAAAATATTTTTTTAATAGCATGAGAATTTATATTTTATAAAAGCAACCATCTAGTAACAGTGTCAGGTCGAATTCTGCAGTATTTCATCACATCTATTCAATATAATTTCACATGTAATTAAACTTGCTCACTTGTTATCACCTTCAGAAAAGAAACTCAGCAGTATAGATCTGTAGTAGATACATACCTGGTCTAAGATGCCCCACTGTATCAGCTAAGCTTCCTTTTTTAACTTTGGTGATAAATGCGCAGAGTCGACCTGATTCAGTCATCTTTCCTCCTACTACCTGTTTCAAATAGGAAGTATTTTCACAGTATGAAAATTACTTTAGATTATTTAAATGTTCTGGCAATAGAAAGAATTCAGCTTTTTCCTTGGGTTTTACATAGTCCAGGTAATACATATACACTTGGAAAAAACACCACACAAGTTTGGCTATGACAGGTTCTTTTTGTAGCTATTCTGGCAATTTGTACAATTGAAAAACAATGCAAACAGAGAATCCTAAAGCTTTTAAATTTTAGCAAATACATGTATAGTATCTCATTGTATTGTAAATTACCACCCAAAACAATGTAAGTTATTGGTCATTTAATTGCTCACTTTGCTATTTTTTTAACTGGGAAAAGATATATTAATGTAACTCAACTCAGGATGTTCACAGTAAGCAATGAAATTCCCTTTGGCTTGGCAAGTCAGATGAAAACACTTGTCACACTGAAAGTCCAGACAGGACGTGGCTTTCTCTACAGGGAACTTCAACAGGTTTGACCTTAATATCTATCTTACAATCAGACTTACATGTCAGAATCAGTAATAACTAAATAATCTTCAAATTCTTGAAGTTTCTTAATGGCCTTCATACTGGAATTTAAAATTTGTAATACTAAATCCAGTTTAGTTTACTTTCAATATGTGAATACTTGAAAATTCAGGTCAGGGATAACTGTTGGAAATCACTCTTTCCAGATGTCTATTGAGATTAAAAAGTAGTAACTCTTGAATCTGAACTATTAATAAATCTCACTGAAGAGTTCATCTTCATAATATGAGATTTGAGAAATTTTAACATAGATGTTTAAACAAAAAGTGCTTCCTAATGGCACTGTTAATCTTTTCTCTTGCATTTTCTGACAAGACAGAAATAAACATGTAAAACTTGATGTTCAACTGGCTTCTCCATTGATTTCAAATAAAATTATTTATTAATTAAATAAAAAATTTAAATCTTTCCAAAATACATTAGCATATGTAATACATAACCACACTGATTCAATCCTTACTCACTGGGTGTGGCAATAACATAATCTGTATACCTGAGGTGAAGTAGGACTCATGCTAAAGGAGAACAGAAAATTTAAACTCCTTTATAATTTCTCACAGCAATTATATGGAATCAAAATAAATACATGTTTGTTTCTTTCACTGTTTATAGTTTGTTCTCATTCTTGTACTAGCATTTCTGGGACTGCAAATAATAATTTCACAAAAAATTGAGATTAATATATGAGCTAGAAATAATTAATAATGTATTTAAAGAGCACTGCATCATGAAAAAGATGTTAACACATTAAAAAGAGTACATTTTGTGATAAAAACCAAAAATATTAAACAATTTTCCGTTCTTTGTTTTTAAACTGTGGCAAATCCCACAATCATTGGAGAGAAAAATTCAAAGAGGAAGTTCAGTTGGCATACTCTGATCTGGACTGAAATGTCATTAACTCACAGATGGCCCCCAGGTCTTCAAGAGGGAAATTTTTTTTTTCACTTTTGTTCTCTTTCTTGGGAAATAGAAGTAATACCATGGTGCAATGCTCCCTACTGAAGAAGACAGACAGGACTTGGCTTTCCTAGCAAGGGTGAAATTTGCACTTTGCTGAGAAGACGTCCTCAGAAAACATCTAAAAAAATGTCTGGTCTTTCAGAAAGACACAATTTTTTAGTTCTGCCAAGGACCCTACAAAATTACTCTAGGTAAATTAATACATTATGTCTATATTGTAATTTTGAGAATGATAAGGCATTATCAATATTGCTATGCAGGCACTATATAGTATGAGAATACTTTAATTATGAAAGTAGCTAGTTTAACTGAGTTGTTACTTTCAATATTGTTCATCACCAACCTTCAATCCAAGCATTGCTCCTGAATCTCTAGGCACACTTCCATCTTTCAGTCGCTTATTTAACAAAATCCGACCAATGAGACGATCTCCATCTTTGGATGGCTGCCAAGTTACTGGATGCTATCATATGGTGTTAATGGAAAATACAGTGAATGGCATTTTAATGAAAAATATTTCAGTAATACTTTTCATTTGCTGATATATTTTAAAAATGCTATGAAAGTATTATGATTACGCTAAACTTTAATATAAAAATGACAGAAAACTGTGCTGGAAAATATTTATTTGGACATATCATTCATCAAAATGGATGTCTAATATTTAATACCATTATCTATTTTACTAAATCAAATTTTTAAACATCTAGAATGATCTTTCAATCTTGATTTTACAGATATAGACAAATACTCAGAGTTATCCAGACACAATGAGATTTACACCTGAGTACTGAGAAAAACTTTGCTAAAAGTCTAGTATAAGAATAATACTGAAAAAGAAGTTTAACTCAAACTGAAAGTTTGATATCAGAAATATCTTATTTTTCCATACTTCAAACATTTCAATTTTTATCCAAGACCAACAAATATTTTTAGTGTTTTACTTTCTCTGAGTAGTAGCAGATTCAAATTTAAAAATACTGGTAAAAGGTATATTCATTGATTAATTTTAATACTTTGTTTCTTTCTTGGAATAATTAATTCACACAGGAAGCACAGTTATAGTGAGCATTATTATTCCATTACTATACATGGGCACAGTTATACTTGTCTATTGGCCTAATTAATGAATTGTTCAGATTTTCTTCTGTGTAATCATAGTACTTTCTCACAGAAAAATATTATTTCATGCTCTATTTCATGCAAAATTAGCAGGCACAGATAAATTTGCTCCCATTACAACTAATAACTCTAAAAAGATTTATCATAATCTCCACCAAACAGAAAGCAAAAATAAAAAATACAAAAGCAGATGGCAAAGCCTTTAATTCTGCACAGTACTGCACAAAAATTACATGGCAACAAAACAAATTAACAACTATGACAGTGAAAGGGAAAAAAGAAAAACAACTTTTCTGTGCAGAGAGACCCAATTTTCTCCCTTTTTCACCTGGGGTTTAAGCTATTAATTTAATTTCAGCCCCAGGAGTTTGGAAATAGTAAATCAAATAAGCCAATTGGTAGAATCCTTATTGTTAATTACTTTGTTCTTGAAGGTAATATCAAGATATGCTAATTTGCAACCATAAGAACAATATTCCTTTATGCCTCTCAATTTTTTTTCTTAGTCTGCCAAACAGTAAAAGCTGCAAGCATGCAAAGACTTTTCATTTGTTTTTCTTTTCTGCACCTTAAGAAATGCTATATTGCCTCTAGAAACACCCTATCTTTTATTTTATGCGCTATTTTAATGAGTGACAGAGAGCAAACAAAGACCAAATGAGCAGGTTAAAATGCAGGCTCCATAATCTCAGTACCTTCTCACTATGGCTATGTTCCTCGTTTAGAGTGGTGCTACTACACGTATCTACCCCAGAGTCTTTTATCTGAGGCTCAGACCATTCCAAGTCCTCTTCCAAGGAGTGGCCACCAAAGCACACCATTTTCTTTTGCCTCTCGGATAAGGCGTTAGAATCCGACAAAACTGCCTGCTCACTAGTTTTTCTTTTTCCCCTTTGACTGTCCCCTATAGGTGTGGGATAAAAAAGGATACAAAAAAAGAAAACATGCAAAGGTGTAAATAAAACCAAGGAAATGTAAAATGATAAAGGCAACTAAATGGTAAGGCTCCACATGTCTCACCAAAGACATTGGGGATGCCTCACTGCTATGCCAAGACGTATGGTCCAACCAGTTGTAATCCATGTCTCCTGCGAGAATCAGACAGACAAGATAGTGCAGTAAAGGAAAGGTGAAAGAAAGGACAAACAAAGATACAGTAAAATTGTAAAGACTTCTGATCTTCCTATCTGATTCATAACCTCTGCCAGGAGGACTTGCAAAGGGCTTCCAAGAAAAAGTTAAGGCTTCAACAACAGAGTACATGGAATATGAAAAACAGTGAGGAAGGAGATATATTTGTGTGCAAAGAATTATGTACAGAGCAAAGCATTCTTGTGCCAGATTTATTAACTGCCTTGATAAAATTATAAAATTAAAAGGCAAATTGTATTTCTAATAGAATATCCAGAAGGGGAAGCATTTGAATACAGAATATCTTAAGGAGCTTATTTCTTTGCTTTTCTAACACAAATTAGTATTTATTCTAATCACATCAATAAAATACTTAAAACAATGGCACACTGCATTCCTTTTGCAGTAGATGATGTTAAGAAAGGTTAAATGAAAATAAAAATCTAGAAACTATATTGAGAATAAAAAGCATATTTACTTTGCTTTGTCTACTGGTCAAACATAAGGATGAATTCTAGTAAGTGCAGGTACCCCACAAAAGGGAGTGTTTAGGGTTTTGACAAATATTTCATAGAGTCAGAATTTAACCTCCATGGCAGACACACAGTAGAAAGAAAAGTTTGAAAAACAGTTTAAGAAGAGAGCTAAATTAATGCTGCTGTCCAAAGAATTAGAGAATGACTCATGTATTTTAATAAAACATTCTCTTTTATGTAGGTACTTTAAACTGTAAATTATGCCCACACATTCTGCACTATTACGTTTATCTCTTTTTTTTTCCCCTCACCATTGTTACTACATGTAATATGAAAAATATTTTGTTACTGAATGTTGCATAATATTTTTATATTACTATGTGCAGGAAAAAAATGCTTCATTTTCTAGTAAATTTGACCAAACTAAAGCAAAGTAGTTCAGGGTTCGTTAATACAGACCTCAAAAAACATTTTTCTATTTCTGTTACTTCAGATCCTGCTTCAACATTGCTCAGCCTATTCCTCTGGAACTACATCAGTAGGGTAGTGAAATATAACTAACAGGTCTTAGCACTGTCTTAATACTTGTCTAGAAAACTTTACAGAAAGGATGTGAAGATACAGCCCCATAAAACTACAAAAAAACAAAAGAGACTTTAGTAAAGTAAAACATTCTCCTTGGAGAGGCACCCCAGAATTAACTGGGTTGGAAAAGCCCTTTGAGCTCATCAAGTCCAACTTAGTATATTGTATATGTACAATAAGAAATACAATTTTTCAATTGTTTCCTCTGAAAATAGAGACTTGCAGGTACTGTATGGAAATAAAAAATCAAGTCTCATTTTAATTTTAAAGGAAATATTCAAAATACAAAGGCTTTGTTTTCAAAAAGATACTTTGAACTTAGTCCCTTACACATTGCAGAAATCTTGTAGCATATTAAATAACCTCTTCTTTCATAAAAACAATGATAAAGTAACTTCATAGAATTATTTTAAGGCATCAAATAATTAATATTTTCTAAATAATAAATAGGCTGTAAATCTTTAACTATGTTTCTTGACTTTTGAAAGGAAGATAACACTTAAAAATGGGAAATTCTTACCAAAACTGCTTTGCCATGAATGTTAATATCTTGCCTGTATTACAGATAAAAGTGTGGCTATCCTGCCAAAGGGGAAAGAAATACTCTTTTGAAAGCTAGTAACATTTTGCTAAAGCTACTTCTGCAAAGCAATTTCCAGGTCTCCTTTTGCCTCCAGACACTGCTTTGAGGGGTACTGAGTGAAATCATCAGTGAGCTCATGAAGATCTAGCCCTTACTCACAAATATACATTTAGAGATGCTGGAAATCATCAGAGGATAGCAAGAGTTCCAGCCTACATATTGCCTGTTTTACAAATTCCCTGGGGCCCTTAAGCATTTGTCCCAGGCTCGTCTGCTGGTATAGCTGTTTTCTGCTTATTCCAAATCCTGTTACCCATTTATTACTGTAGGGTGCATCCACAAACAGTATGTGTCCAAGATTAGATTCAGTCATTTTGCAAAAATAGTTACTCTTCATCAAATGATAAACTCTGGAACTAAATCTGCACAGAGGAACACTTGCAAAATTGAGCCTGTTACCTGATAAAAGCACTCCCTCTTCTTGCTCCACCATTTTCCCTTCCCCTTTTCAAACAAGATGTAGAAGGCTTTTTTTATTGTAGTTGTGTCTCACAGTAAATACTAAATAACTGGCATTTATAAAATGAAAAATTAAAATAAGCAACAACTCCACCCAAATACTGTTTTGGTTTTATCTGTGTAAAATATGTAGTTACATGTTTCCAAAAATTATCATATAAATTAGAAGTTGTAAAGCTACTGTACATCTTATAGATTTTGCCCTTAATACTGTATTAATTGATCTAAATGACAGGCATAAATACTATGCAAGTCAATAAAAGGATGACTGTCTGGAAGCCCTGTAGTGTATTACATTTCTATGACAGACATGTATGGCTTACCATACCTACAACTTTTTGAAGTAAAACTTGATTGATAAAGTCACTGGACATCAGTTTTTCAATGAAAGTTCTAGAAATATTAAAATCTTGGCAAGGTAAATGATTTTTGAAATCTTATAAAATTTAAAGTAATATATGTAAAGCACATAGGTCTTTGCATACAAGAAAAAAACTATAAGTAAATAAACAAAATAAAAGTAAAGAATTAAAATAAAAGTTAAAACATGATCTTTTGTAATATAGACACCATAGTTGCAACTCTGAGTACCAGAAAATACACTTGCTGCTGTCTTAGAAATTAATCATCCACTATAGAAAATATTTTATTATTGAGAATATATACATTTAGGGTATGCAGCAGAAATTACACAGGAAAAAATGTGACTTCATTGATAAATTAAAAAGGATATAATATCAAAATCATGATTCATGGAAGAGGAACCTAATATATTACTAAGGAAGATACAGTCCTAGTTTATGCCATTATAACAATATTCAGATGCTTTTTGAGTTCAGGAGTACAGCTGGATATAGGAAAGGACATATGTGAGGTCTGCTCTTATTAATGTCAATGAGTTCTATGTGTATATGGAAAGCTTCCATGGACTAATCAGGTTGGGAGAATCACAACATCAGTAACCTTGCCCTTCTGCAGAAACAGGGTTAAGCTGAAGCCTTTATAACCTTACTGGTATTCAGTGTGCTTTTCTTATTTTCTCTTTACAAAGCCAAACAGGCAGTGGAAAATATTTTTTTCTTCTACATTCATTCAGGACCCCCCAGCAATGGGACCTTCCTGTAGCAATGGGAACTTAGAATTTTAGACTATATTTTAAAAGAAATTTGGTCAGTTTCTGCTTTTTGTTTACTATAATGACTTTCCCACACAGAAATATTCATAATTGAGTATTTTTTTATAAAGCATTAAGGAATTTGTATCTAACGTTCAAGGTGCATGTGTACTATTTTTTGAATGCTGTTTAAGTTCATGGTCAAGTCCAGAACCATTTATCTTCCAAACAGGCTAGACATAGAGCACTCCATATAATTGGCTGTTCTACTCATACAGAGTTATTTGGATGCTCTAAAGTGCCCAAAGTCTTCACATAGGATATAAGCATAACCCAGGCCCTTTCTACCTAAAGCAAGACCTCTCTAAACTGTCAACTGTTTCCCTTGGTAAACTAAAAACATAATCTTGTTTTGAACCAAAAACTTGTCCTCAAATTCAAATCTCATTGCCAAAAAGGACAGGTCACATAACTTTAAATTCTTCAGGCTGAGGCAGCTACCTGACTACATGATGTATACTGAACACATACTTCTGACTACTTGAGACACTAATGGTACATATATGTCATTACTCAAAACTGCAAATTATTTAACCTTGCAATTGAGCATTTTCCTCCTCAAAGCTTATTTTCAGCATAAGGTACAGTGAGCTGAACACATCCCATGTGTCTATATCCTTCTCCTAACTGCACAGCTCCCAGTGCAGCCCTGTACCAGAAGGTCTCTGGAGTGAAGTAAAAAGTGAACTACAGCTCTTAAGAGCTTCCATTTAAGCAGGTTACTTTCTGTGTTTGCACAGTGGGTGACTCCAAAGAAGAGCTACGCAGCTAGAACTGCCTGGAGGTGATTATATGAGTGCTTAAACAATTGCTTTGTCAGCTCTGGACATTTCAGGGACATTCTAGCTTTTGGTGCAGGAGCAAACGTAAAGCTGCCTGTCACACAGCTGACTGTAAAGTACAGAAATATTATCCAACACAGTCACTGATAAAGTCTGAGTGCTGATTAAAAAAGAAGCACCTTCCTGCAGGGCTTGCAGCAGGCTTTGAAAATTCCTACCATGCATTTCAACATTTCTTCTTGGAAAACTATTATTTCTCTGGATTTGTCAATTTTCAACATGGAACAGCCTAGGAAAATGTCTGAAGCATCTGATCGTAGCAAAGAAAAAAAAGAGAAACTGTTCTTTATGTAATGGATATGAAGTATATTTTGACTTCTAATAAGTGAAACACAGAGAAATATAGCAATTAAGAGAAAAATGCATAAATCTCCATTAGTGAATAGCAGAGTGCTGCATTCCACAAGGCAGGTGAGAGAAAAGACTGAGGGAGGTGGGAGCAGGTAACAGTGCATACCCCTGTGGCAAGAATGATGACGTGGACACCATACAACTATTGAATAGAGATGCTGCACCAAAGAAATGTCTCAGGACCTCATGGGCTAGTCATTGAAAACTTAAGTTTTTTTTTTTTTTTTTTTTTTTTTTTGTTTT